CCACGTCAATATGGTACTGGAACGCCTCCGAGCTGCCAAACTCCAAGTCGACATCAAGAAAAGCGAATTCCATGTCACGCGCACCAAGTACCTAGGCTACATCTTAACCAACAAAGGCATTGAAGTAGACGCTGACAAGGTGGAAGCCTTACGCAACTGGGAGCGACCCACAACCGTAACGGGTGTGAAATCCTTCTTAGGCTTTACCGGATTCTATCGCCAATTTGTTGCTGAGTTTTCACGTATTGCCAAACCGCTCATTGCACTTCAAAATCCCGCTGTGCCCTTTGTACGGACTGAGAATTGCAAGGTCAGTTTCGAACGGTTGAAATCCGCACTGCTATCAATTCCGACACTGTGCCACTTCACACCTGAATACGATACAAAAGTCGAGACCAACGCCTCCGATGGTGTAATAGCAGGAGTACTCTCTCAGAAACATCCCGACCACAAATGGTATCCAGTAGCGTTCTATAGCAAGGTGCTATCCGGCTCTGAACTCAACTGGGAAATACACGATAAGGAGTTATTTGCTATCCTCCAAGCCTTCGAGAAATGGAGAGCCGAATTGACCTCGACTCACACCCGAGTCCTAGTCTATTCCGATCACAGGTCTCTGGAATATTTCATGACCACCAAGGTACTCAATGCCAGACAAGCCCGAAGGTCAGAGACTCTGGCTGCGTTCAATTTCCGAATCGAGTACACTCCTGGTAAGAGCAACGCCAGAGCAGACATCCTGAGCAGGAGAGAGCAAGATCTGGGCAAGTTGAAGAGCGCCCAAGAAGACAATCGATCACGAATTCTCCTGGGACCTGACCGGTTACATGACCGAATCAACTCCGACCTAGCGCTGTCCTATATCGACAAGCAATTGCCAAAGGTGGCCATACAAGCACTCCAAGCCCACAACCCTACTATGGAGTTGGACTCGTTAGAGTTGATTGAAACAGTGTTACAAAGGAACCGAACGTCGTTTGCCAAAGAACATTCGGATCTACCCAACAAATATCAAATCAGTAACGGATTACTTCTCTATCATGACCGGCTCTGTGTAGTGGACGACCCATTACTTCACACCCGCCTGATTCGCGAGATACACGACCAGATATCGTCTGCTCATCCTAGCGCAAAGAAAACCTACCAGTTACTGACCCAGCAGTACCACTGGAAGGGTATGGAAGCGAGTTGCCAACGGTATGTACGAAATTGTATCGCGTGTAGGAGAGGACATCCGAGACAGACCCGACTCCAAGGTTATATCCATCCGCTACCTGTCCCAGACCGACCTATGCAGCACCTGTGTATAGATTTCAAAGACTTCCCCCGGGACAGAAACGGTTACGACCAGATTATGGTTATCATTGATCGTTTGTCCAAGCAAGCTATCACTATACCATGCCACAAGACAATCACGGCCCATGGATTAGCAAACTTGTTCGTTCAATGGGTATATCGCTTCGGACACACTCCAGAAACCATTGTGTCAGATCGAGGACCACAGTTTGTATCCCGATTCTGGTCCGAATTCTGCCAGATCATAGGTGTCAAAGTAAAGCTTTCTACGGCCTACCATAAGGAAACTGATGGTCAAACAGAAATTATGAACAAGTATATCGATCAAAGGCTAAGGCCGTTCGTGTCCTACTATCAGGACAACTGGAGCGACCTGCTGCCTATGATCAACCGAGCTCAAATTTCGTTACCCCATTCAGCAATCGGTATGGCTCCGTATCAGCTCCTTTTCGGATCCACACCGAAACAAAGCTGGGAATGGAAGAGCCCCATTCCAGCAAAATCCGCAGCAGACAAATTGAACCATCGCGACGCGCTGGCCCTTGCGAGCCGTATGCATGAGGCGTGGAAATTAGCCAAGGACAACATGGAAAAGGCTCAGATCCGAATGAAATCCGTAATCAATCGGCATCGACGCCCAGTGGACTGGAAGGTAAGCGATATGGTATACCTATCGACCAAGAACCTGGCAAATGTACGCCCAAGCCGAAAGCTATCCGACCTGTGGGAAGGTCCATTCGAAGTCCTAGAACAAGTTGGACACTCCTATCGCCTTAAGTTACCCAAGGGTTCTCATATCCATGATGTGTTCGCCCCAAACGTATTGTGTAAAGATCCTCAAGACCCGCTCCCTGGACAAGAAGCTCCGAAACCCATGGGTACCCCGATACAAGGTGTCAAAGAATGGGAGGTGGATGAGATCTTGGCCAGCAAGCTCTATCGTTCGACTCTGAAGTATAGGGTGAGCTGGGTTGGTCATGATCCCGATCCTACATGGTACAAAGCCTCAAACTTCATGGGAGCGCCACACAAGCTCAGGGCTTTTCACGAAAGGCATCCGAATCGTCCAGGACCCCCTCGATCCTTAGATAAATGGATTCAAGCATGGGAACAAGGTCAAGAGGATATGGCAGGTCTGGAAGACGACAGAGTAGGGGGGCACGATTAATTTACAAAGACCAACTAATGTACATCCGGACCTGCTTCGGACCTGTTCCTCCCGTGAACGTCTTCACTCCACCTCGTCACCCGACAAGAATTCGTGGACCGAAGACAGCTCACTATTGGAACCGCCTTCCACCGTACCACCCATCTCCTCGTCCTCCTTTTCCCCTCCTCGTTCACGCTTTCTCCTTCCACCTCGACCCCCCTCTCGACCTGCGCGCCTACCGCCCCCCCGAGCGGTTACGGACCCCATTCCCCCCACCTTCGCCGTCAGCTCCGCCTGAGCTTTCGCCAACGCCACCATGGCCTCCGCCATCTCCGAAAGCTGCCCGCGCAGGGCCCGGTTCTCCTCAGCCATTTGATAATGGCTGGCCAGCAGCACGTCGACCGCCGACAAGTTCTTGAACTGGGCAGTCGCCACCTGCACACAGCTCGCCAACTCGTAGGCGGCAGAACGCACCCCAGCCTCGGAGGCCTTTCGGTCCCCCTCCTCGTCGCTCCCCAGGGCAAGCTCGTAAGCCCCGAGGGCCTCCCAAAATACGGCAAACTCGGCCCCGGCGTAGGCGGGCACCTATTATTTTAATCAGCGAGGCCAATTCGGATAGATATCGGAGGCTTACCGGGTTGCACTTCTCGTTCTGTAGTGTGCAATATGCACACTTCTTAGAGCTCGCCGAAGCAAACTCAAAATCGACAAATTGGCCACGGGCCATAGCCCGGACCGACCGAAGGCAAACGACCCTGTGGGCCGCCGGAAGTGCTCCGGGAGTGGTAGGTATTGGCATTGCCGATTGTTAAATACTGTACAAGTCAGTATGGAAGTTGCAGACCCGCATAGTCGCACTCACGGTAGATGTTGTTGAGATTGTTAAGGAACAGAACATGATACGGAAGCTCACTTCTATACACACAACGCGTTGCCAGGTGGACTAGCAGGTTGGGATGGAAACGGGCGACAATAACAACGACACTCGAGGTAAAGGCAACATGACTGACAGTAAGGGAAACTACGCAAGCCTTGCTCGACCCCGATACAACCCCGACTCCACTCCGACTCAAGAAAATCTTCAACTGTACCTGTTCAACAGCCCCGATAAGCAAGAAAACCCGCCCACAGATATGGGACTATCTGTCTACAAGGAGGGGGGTAGTGTAACGACCGCAACCGAATGACCACCGGTACGGTTCCGAGTCGTTCCTTATCTGCATACATGTCGGCAGGCATCGCGCTGCTGTACTATCTGAGCCCCTGTTGGCACCTGCATGCACGATAAGCTAGTCTACCGCTCCGGGTCCGATTGTCCTCCTAACGGTATACTTAAGCAGTTCAACACAGTTGTTAGATAGAGTAGTTTTTCTGTATCCTTTTGTACAAGACCTATAGGTGTAGGGAATTCAATCCTAGTGTTCTCAACGTCCCAGCACTCCCATATGCCTCGTAGCGGACTCAGACTTATTCCGGATATCTTCCCTGCTGGCCTGCGTCGTTACACTCTCTGAGATGGAAGGATTGGTGGAAGGATGGTTCAGGCTTGTTGGAGATAAGGGTGTAGAGGAGACCAAGTGTGGGGATACCACAAGTGGTAAAAAGGATAAGTGATAAAGAAGGGATCAAGTGTGGGAATACCACAAAGGATCAGTGAGGAGTGAGTTGAGGAAGGAGTTGTTGAGGTGAATTGAAGGAGTGGATTGAGTTTTGAATTGCAAGCATGAGTTATCTGAGCAGGAGGGCAGGCTGCCTTTATAGACAGACTGCTGGCTCCTGGAATGTTCTATATACATTGGCATTTGTAATCATTTGTAATCATTTGTCAGCAACCAGAAGATTCTGTGTTGTTCTATGGGATTCCATGATGTTCCATGAGGTTCCATGGGATTCCATGATGTTCCATGAGGTTCCATGAGGTTCCATGAGGTTCCATGATGTTCCATGAGGTTCCATGAGGTTCCATGAGGTTCCATGATGTTCCATGAGGTTCCATGAGGTTCCATGAGGTTCCATGAGGTTCCATGGGATTCCATGAGGTTCCATGGGATTCCATGAGGTTCCATGAGGTTCCATGAGGTTCCATGAGGTGTGACTGGGTGGATTGTTATTGGCTGCAAGCCATGTCAGGATGACACCTAGTGTTCTCAACGTCCCAGCACTCCCATATGCCTTGTAGTGGACTCACACTTACTTTGGACATCTTCCCTACCTACCTGCTGTAATGGGCTAGGCCCATTGTTAGCGCCTCGGCAACAGCACAGGCCTCGGTACCTCCGAAGCGGACGTACAACCTCTGGTCACCTCCTGAGCGGGCCTGCAACCTCCAAAGCGGGAGTATTAGAATTCTGCAAGTCCTGCTCTGGGACTTGCCCCTTATCAAATCCATCAAGTTCTACATCGCATATTGCCCTCAGCGGCTTGCCCCTTACACCTGCATCGTTACACATCTCCTCTAGCCTCTAGATGTGGGCTGTTTTGCCCCTTTGAAGCAGGCATACAGGCACCAAGCTGAAAAGCTAATGTGCAACTGGATCACCCACATAACAAAGACAGAGTTCCTGCCATGCTTCAAGGTGGCCTACAATGCTGCAATTACTCCTAGCAATATCCAAAGAGGGTTCCAAGGTGCTGGGTTGGTCCTGTTTGACCCAGAACAGGTCATAATGGCCCTTGATGTAAAGCTGTGCACTCCATTACCACCACTCCCCATCAACAATGAGCCCTGGCAATTGCAGACCCCAAGTAACACCCTTGAACTTGGGTTGCAAGCAACACTTGTGAAGACAAGGATTCAGAGGCACACTAATAGTTCACCAACTTCTATGGTTGAAGTGTTTGAGAAGGTCTCAAAGGGGGCAGTAATTATTGCACACAAGCTAGTGTTGGCACAACAGGAAATTGCTGAGCTTTGAGCTGCCAATGGGGCTGCCACGCAATGTAAATTGCACAAAAGAAAGCAAGTTAAGCAAGAAGGAACTTGAATAGTAGAGGACAGCCTGGGATTGCCAACTCTAAAGGAGTTTGAGGCGTGCAGTGATGGGAAGAAGGCAAGAGGCAAGCACACGCAGAAGTGGGTGAGCCAACCCAAAGGCACTGTGGACGGTGCAATCAGACTGGACATAATGCACAAATGTGCAAGCAAGATGTAGAAGAAGTCTCTGAATGATATTCCAGGCTGTACTGCCCTACACAGTGCCAATGTGGGCTGGTTTGGGCCATAATAGGGTGAGGTTTGGTGGGGTCTTGGCAAAAGTGTCCAACTTGCTCGGTGTCCAATTTGCCCGTGAGGTACGTTATGTCTCATCAGCATCCAACATTGCAGATGTTTGTACCAAGTCGTTACCATACCCAGCCCTGACAGGTTTTGTCAAAGATATGGGTCTGGGATGATGGGGATGTTGTAGTGATGGAAGGAGGTTTCCACAGGTATCAATTACCTGATTTGGCTAGTGTGTTCATAGTTACGTAGCCTCTCCGAGAGAGTTGAACGATTACCTTACACCTCACTACAATACTTCAATACTTTCATCCATGTCCTTGACCAGCATCTCTACTTCGCTCGCTACCTGCAAACGATTTGCGACCATGGACCAGCTTCCACAGGAATTAGTCGATCGAATCAGCAGTTATCTCTCTCCTGATGGCCTCAAGAATACACTATTGCTGTCTCATGCATTTCGCTTTTCCGCTGAAAAATACTCGGGGGCGTTTGCAAGATTCGCCCAAATGAAGACACCGCCAAGAAGTTCATTGACACTTCCTCTGGTCATCGGCTTCTGTATTTGCACGATCTGGAATTCGAGATCCGCCTTCCTCTTCCTGAAGACAGCGAGCGTCGCGACAACGCGGACCAACTGAGCAAGCATGACAAGAGTTTCACTCAACAAATCACGTTTCTGTTCAAGACTATGAAAACGGTCGAAGAACATGCAGGAACCCAGAATAAACCTGGAATAGTTCGGCTCGCGATAAGCTCTCCCTGGCGACCGATTTTTCGCGGACGTTCACTCTTGTATCATGATCACTTGAGCTGGCGCGTCCATTCGTTGGAACCCGAGGCACTTCCGTTACTCGAATCGGTTCGTTTCCTGGAGGTAGGAGATGGCTGGAACGGGTCACTCGGCAGAAGAGCAGATGATGCGGATTATAATTGGGCGCGAGTGAAACTGGACTACCGTGTGGTGGTCGATCTTGTCGTCAAATTGCCATATCTTGAATACTGGGGTTGTCGAATTGGAGGCGATGAATGGTCGCCGAAGACGGTACAAGAAGCGACAAGATATTTCACGCAAGATTGGGTTGGACCACGTCGGGACACAAGACAGGGTTTTGCAAAAGCTCTCTTGTCTGCACGTCTGCCTGATTCACTTCGGCGCGTTCGTCTAGACTTTCTCCATGACCTACACAATAGCACGCATATCGACCATCTCACGGCACAGCCTGATCTGGTAAGCCCAGCGGCCAATGATCTTTTCAGCACCAGTCTACACCACCTCTCACACCATCTCCGACGGCTTCACTTGCGTGTAGTAGCGGACGAAACGCTGTTCTGGCCTAAGAATAACTGCACCCCTTCCTGACCGAAACTCGAGAGTCTCGTTGTCATGTTCCACATGGTTAGCCCGAGGGACAATGGTATTTCATAGGTCCGAACGGCGAAGGGCGCGACACGGCTGCATTCAAGGTCACTGATACCTCATACCCACCCTTGGAAACAACCCCCTATGACGAAGAAACGGACGGGCAGATTGAGGAAGAGGGAGACCGGCGATACAGAGGGGGCCCAAACACCCGCATCCGCATCGTGCCGAAAGATACTACACTACGGCCTTTCCTTGCAGCCTTTGACAAGGCAGTATCAAACATGAGGGCTCTCCAAGAAGCAGTGCTCTGGTGCCTTCTTGCGTGGGCGCCTAATGATGAAGATGGTGAAGAATTAGAGACTGACTGGCTTCTAGAAAACTGTCCAGACGCGGATAGACTCGCTTGGGGAGTGCATTGCCAAGCGAAGGATGAGCCTAATTTTACTCAGCAGGGTGGAAACCTTCCTACAGAAGTTCCTCTACTCTGGTGGAAAGTCGGCAAGTGGCGTCCGGATCCCGAGCTTCATGAGCTTTTTCAGCAGATCGGACGTACGCCATGGGGTGACGGTCTGAAAGAACACTGGGAGGATGAAGATTATGGAGAGGGATTGGTGGATCGCGAATACTTTGAGTATTGTGTACAAGAAGAAGTTGATAAGGTGGGGCGGATCCCGCCGCCGAACTAAAAGTTTATGGTGGTGGAGTGAAACTCGAGGTCAAGTAGAGCAGGCATTCGAGGGGTTTTAGGCGCAAATGTAAGGCAGGAACAATTCACATGAAGGTGAAGACATGTACTAGGGCCGTGTGACAACAATACTTCTTCTGCATCGAGCATAAGTACCGCAACATTATGTATCTATTATATTACAGTAATGCAGTAAATCAAAGCATAGAGTGCATTGTGTGTTCTGTCTATCTATCATGACGACCTTGTAGAATACCACAAAGAAGTTCTGTTCACATGACGTATCTATGTTACAACTGGTTGTAGAAGGTACATCGACACGAGTAAGGAGCGGCAGACTAACGCACAGTACATTTTATATCCCCCTCTCACGAACCGTGACAATATTACGCGTTTCATTCGAAACACAAAAACACCAAAAGGAGGAAATAGAATATAAATAATCTACCACGGCCTTGCCCAGTTCCTGACATTGTTCCACTCCGCCTCGAGCGCCATGGTATACGCGTCAGTCTCCTTCCGCAGCTTTGCCCACTTGGCGATCTCGTCCCTCTCCGCGGGGGTCTTCTGGGGATTGTCCTTGGCCTTATCTTTTGCAGCTTGAGAAGTATACTCATCTTTCAAGCGCTGGATATCATCCATGAAGCTGATACCCTTGTCTCTGGCCGTCGCGAACACTTCGTCCATGTAGGTATCCCACCTAGCTCCCAGGCCGAGTGTCTGCCACGGTGTGAAAGTCCTGGCGCCCCTTCCTGTAATCTGACGGGGAGTTGGGGGAGATCCCTGTCGATGCCATCGATGACGGTGCCTATTCTGATTTTCTCGTCCTTGAAGATCTGTGCGACTTCTGGCTCTTGCATGTATTTGAATACACCCACCACGCTTCTCAAATTTTGGACTGCCATGCGGGGCGCTTGTGATGGATACCCCTTTATCCTTGTCCTCTCGATGATTTCTTTCATCTTGCTGTCTTGGATGATTTCTTGTAAGCTGCTTTTGAGTTCCAGAGGATGTCACTGGTTTGAAGCAGTTGCTCCTCCTTCTCCACCCATGACACTGATGGTACAGTCTTTCCGGAGCACGCCAACGGCAGAGACATGGCACGTTCTCGTAACAGTTTCAGGAAAAGAATTGGCAAATCTCCAATGCAGAGAAAGTAACGAAAGAGCAGAGCCGGCACGCAAGCATGTCGATAAACACATTTGGTTTCGATAGAGGCCACGTCCCATAGGTAAGTTGACTTAGCACCAAGTTCACGAGCCGGCAGCAACCGGACATTTCGCGATCGTGACGGGTTTTGTTGGAGCGTCCACTAGCGCCAGACGTCATGGCAATATCCTCGTTGAATTTTGAGAGCAGCAGAAAAGTCGCGCGGACACGAGAGAACGGGCTATCGTTTTTTTGTTGAGTTCGAGAGCAGATTTATGTAGGGAAAAGCGGAAATGTGAGCGGCGAAAGCTTTTGTACTTGGCTGCCTCCGCGCAAACAGCAGCACCACCAACCGGACACAATGGCGCATGGGTTCGCTGATCGATGTCAACAGAATACGTTCGTGGACCTGGAGACATGTGTGTTGTGGATATTGTGTATTGGACTACCCTTGTCGCTGGTACATGCTCGCTGAAGATCAAAATGTCTTGACACCATCTCGCATACATATGTCGCTCTATCCGTAGCAAACCTGGCTCGAGGATTAATCAAGGATGCTCTCGCCAGCTTTCGACGCATCCTTAGCATCTTGCGTTTGTGTCTTCTTGGCCTCATCCTTCTTTGTCTTCTCTTTCTTCACTTCCTCTTCGCTCTCCTCGTCCTCCTCCTCACTCGTCCCCTCACTACTGCTCTGATTTGGCTGCGGCGCAGAAGTCGCATCCTTAGCCTCTGTAGCCTTAACCTCCACCTTCTTCTCCTCTGCACCAGCCTTAACCGAATCTTCGCTATCTTCACTGCTCTCATCTATCTGCTCGCCCTCTTTCACACTTGCACCAGCCTTCGACGCATCCTTAGGGTCCTGGTCTTGTGTATTCTTTGCCTTCTTCGCCGCGGGGGAGTCTTCGCTGCTCTCTTCCTCATCGCTGTCCTCTTCCTCCTCGGAGCTCTCTTCCTTCTTCTGTGTAGTCTTTATCGGACCAGCCGATAGCGCGGGGTTCGCTGCATCGTCGTGCATCGATGGCGGTGCGTGAACGGGCTTCTGCTGCTCGAGCTTTGGCACCGCGTTCGGCGTCGGTGGTAATGGTGTCGAGCGCGGAGAGAGGATGTCTGGCAGCTCGACCGCTGGCATCTTCTTAGCGTCTCCCTCGCTCTTCTCTGTTGTAGCGGTGTTCGGCGACTTGGGCAGCGGCGTTGATTTCGGACCCAGGATGTCGGCTGGGCTTTTCGCATTCGTCTTCTCCGTCAATAGCGGGTTTGTCGTCGAGATCTTGACTGGTGTAGGTTTTTTGCTCGCGGCAATCTTTGCTGCTTCAGCACCCAGTTGTCTTATTGCGAGATTCTGCTCAGAGGTCGCGACAGGTGTGTTCTCCTTCGTATTGCTTCCACCACCCAACGATCCGAATGCGGAACCACCCGACGAACCGAATGAGAAACCACCCGGCAAGGCACCAGCGAGTGGTGGCGGTGTCTTGCTCGGTGCTGGTTCGAAGAGGGATGTGGGCTTTGGGGGGTTGGCGGTGAAGGCCGTGTCAACACCTAATGCGTCGTGCAACTCGTCGTACTCGTTCCATTCTTCGATTTCCTCGATGCCCTGTGTGACCTGATCAGCACTGTGCATCGTATTTGAGTTCCCGTATCACGTACACCGAGTACGTAGCCCTCCTTGACCAACAGCGGGAGCTTCTTGCCGGCTGCGCGCCGTTGGAACAGCTTCCTACCCAATTCATGTGTTGCCGTGTCGAGGCCGATAAAGGGGATCTTATTAGCTTTCAAAATCGTTTCGATGCGTGATGTCGCTGTGATAATGTGGGAAGAACCGGCCGTCAGGGACGTGAAAAGGTAGATGTTGGGGTCTTTGTCAAAGACAGCGAGTTCGGCCATATTGGGCGGTGTGGGAAGCTTCGAGGAATGGTGGGGTAGCTCGTTGGAACAGCAAGAAGGTTGGTAAGAGGGCGAGGAAGGTGCGGTGGAGCCAAGTTTTGAGCGGAAGGAGCTCTTCTCATCCAAACCAGAGCAAGGGGCTTCGAGATGAGAAATGCCAGGTCAGTGTTTAGAATGAAGCTATTGCGACAGTCGTGGCGCTGACCCCGCGCAGGGTCCAGCACATCCCTGTCAGAAGGATCCACAGAGTTGCATAAAAGGAACAGTAGAGTTATGATGGCATTGAATTGCAATAGCAGAGCGAACGACATTAGATATTACACCGAGGTGTGTTGCTAATCGCTTTCTCAAATAAAACATGTACATTTGAATGATGCTACGCGCCAATCATGTAGCTTCCGTTCGTCGTCTTTCCAGCAAGAGCATTCGTCAGCGCATCGCGCACTTCGAACTCCTCGAGGACGGCGCCAAAGCTGTAGCGTGTCAGTAGACGCTCGTCGTCGAAGGCTTGGTCACGCTTACCCATAGCAGCGCACTTTGGCGAGCAGCTCCCCCTTGATAGCGCCGATCTCCTCCTTTGTGAGCGTCTGGAAGTTCTGGTCCTTCAGTATCATCACCCAAGCCATGATGGGCGTGATCTCGCCATCGAGGGGCAGCCTGGCGCTAAGGTCGAGCAGCTTCATCAGGTCCGGCATCGCAACATCCGGCATCTGGTGAGGGTACTTCTCCTCTGGGCAATTCGCGATGTGCGAGTCGGGCGGCGCGGTCGCCATGAGTGCATGGCCACTAATCGTTTCTTCAGCATCGTGGGCACGTACCATGAGAAACTGCATATGATCCATGCAAGGGCGCTCGAGACTGGAAGGCGCAACAGTCAGATAAGGAGCGGTTTATTATAAAGAAACAAGACGTACGGAGGATGATGAATGAAGGAGAAAGGTGACGTAGAGGGCGTGATACATTATTGCTGGGGTGGAGGAGAAAGGTAGGGCGTTCGGTCGTACGTTAAAACGAAGTCAACACCAATCTGGTCGTAGTCCAGTCCGCTGACTTGTGGGCTCGGTTGCATAGCCTGCGAGTGCATCGACTGTGGCATCATCATGTCGTGCGAGATCGATCCGTTTCGGTGATGAACGCTCGGCGGGGAGGTATAGCCAGTGGATGCTGATCCGGGCCCGTATCCAGATGCACTGCCGCTGGAGCTGTATGTCGAGCTTCCCACGTTTGGAAGGCCATTAGGGGGACTCGCAAGGGTGTCGAAGGCGATACCATGAGCCATGAGCAATTCCTTCAGTCGACGGTTCTCTTCGGCATAGTGGTCTCGTTCTCGACTCGTAGTACCGAACGTCTCTTTCAGGCGAAGAACTTCTTGCTCGAGGGCTTTGATGTACATCTCTTTTCTCTCGCGATGTGTTCTGGAGAGCCAGTGAGCACACGTTAATCAGAATCAGACGGATCGACATGCCTTTGTGCCTGTCGATTGAGCTCTTGTCGTCGAGTCAAAGCCGGTTTGCTGTCCGGCTTGGGACCTCTTCTCTTGGGAGTTTGTCCATCTGCATACTATCAGCTAGTAGCCAACAACGTCCAACAATGTACGAACCTCGTGTGGTCTTCTTTTCAGTCAAGTTATTAAAGAAACCAAACTGCGCAAGTGGGCTTTTTGATTCACTGCCTATTGATGACCACTGCCCTTTGCTCTCCATAGCAGACACAAAGCCAATCGAGCTGTCTCTCCTGCCACCCTCTGACGGACATAGCGAAGGTCGGCGGGAGGCAGGTGAGGGATACTCGATAGCAGTGCCGCTTGAAGAGTAACCGGGCATCATGATTAGCAAGTCTGACTAGGATATATAGTAGGTGTTTGGCATGGATAGGCCGGTCGTTGAACGAGAATAGAAATTACAATAAGGATGTGTATTAGGGCTTGGGCGGTACGACAGAGGCACGAGCGCGTATATGTAGCCATGCCTTGAGCATGGTACATCGAGGGAGTGCATGGATGCTGACGCCCAGCAGACCGGTAGCCGTGGGGCAATCGGCAAATCTTATGCTGACGTCTGTACAGACGGTCTTGGCGAGACCTAACTTGTCTCTACAGCGTGTTTGCAAATGCGAGAGAGAGGAAGGGCGAACAGGCGCTTAGGCAGGTGACGAAGGACGGAGGCTGCATGGGTTGACGGAGACAGCATGAGGCATGAAGCGCAGCTAAAACAGCTCGACCTCAAACGTAGAAGGAGTAAAGCATGAAGTAGGCTGAAGGTGTACTCACCACTGCCACTGTTGTAATCTCCCATTCCGGGGTCGGTCTTGATGGCGGTCGCCATGCTATGAGCGTTGCAAAGACCTGAGGGTAGTCCCAAAGATCTGACAACCGGTTCTGATGATGCTGCTCGTATAGAATGCTCCGAGTCTGAGTTGACACGTACTAGAGGCTGTCAGTCAACGTTCAACCCCTGCGCGAATCCGAAACATACACAGAACAGTTACTACCGCACTTTTGAGGTTGCCAGGCAGGAACTGGCGAACAGAAAATTGAGGCTACAAAGACGTAATCAGGACCACTGTGAATGGAGCCTCTAGCACGCAATTATGCAAGCAGTGGAGTCTGGAAAGTGTAGAGAGGCTGAAAGTGGCACAGTTGAGTCGTGGCTGAGGTGTAATCAAGACGAAAGATGGTGCTCTTCGCGTCGCAGGTGGGGGATCAATGAGGCAATAGCACACCAAAGGGCGAGCGGGTTGTGGCTAGAAAGAAGCCTCGGCAAGAAACTCTTACACTTACAGTGAGATCCTTAACGCGGTCCAACGGGCTCAATGCGCTGCCCGAACGAGTTCATCGGCGCAAGGAGCACAGCCCCAGCTGGAGATTTGGAATTAAATTTCGAGGTCTGAGTACGTGCGGGAACGAGCCGGCGGGCACTGAATCGATCTGATTGATCAATGCGAGCGTGACGGAAGTAGAGCGTTGCCTCCGGTGGTGTTGACGAGTAGACTTGCGGCTCTGTGGTGGTCTAGAGGCGGTCGCTGATTTAGACGGCGACCATCTCGTGTTAAGCGCGACACACGGCTCAACGCAGGACGCAAGGAATTCTAAACAGCAGCAGCTGAGGTTCAGGGAGAAGAACGATTGAGCTGAGGGCATACAAGACACACTTTGTTCTTTTGATGCTGAGGGCTGATGCGTTGCTGACGAACGGTCTGGCCCTACTGCATTCAGAACAAGGCCTGTGCGCCACGACGATCTCGCCCCTCGACGTCCGCGTGCAGGAATGCCGCTGCCTAGCCCCGAAGTTCATCGGGCCCAGGGCTTCCGTTCTCAGTAATTCCGTATCACGTGGCCATTCCCTAGATTTTCGAGGAGTTCGCGCTGGAAGGAACATCATCCGTCCACTCAAAGAGCATGGTCAAAGAGCGTTCATCTCCCCTCAGAGCAGTGATCAGCGCTTTCCTTTTTCCGCAGCCCTGTTGTCTGGAGACGAAGCTACTGTACACGGGGGTTGTTCAAAGTCTCGGGTGCTCATGAAACACATGCTTGATGAATTGATGGTATGATCGTGCCTAAGACGTTGTACTTGTTGCTCATTGTTCATTGATCATTGGTCATTCAGCTTCTCTCGTGGCTCAACTTTGCCGTCTCGACCCAAGGAAGTCTCTCACGTTGAGGGGCCATCAACGCCGGACGGACTCAAAGCTTCGAGGACAGTCAGGGCTTGTTTCCAAGGATACCCTCGATCTCCTCCATGACCTCTGGTGTCAGCTTGGGAAGCAACTTAAGGGCAGCGCAGTTGTCGTGAACCTGCTGCACCTTACTGGCACCCAGGATGACTGTTGAGACGTGGGGGTTCTTCGCAACCCAGGCAAGCGCCAGCTGGCTGGTAGAAGCTCCGAGCTTCTCAGCGACCTTGGTCAACTTCTTGACCTTCTCGACCTTTGCCTGTCCCTCGTCGCTCTTCAGCTCCTCGATCGTCTTCTTGAAGAACTCCTTGTTGGTAGCGAAGCGAGAATCCTCAGGAATGCCCTCGTTGTACTTGCCGGTCAATAGACCAGAAGCAAGCGGCGACCAGATGGTGGTGCCGTACTGGAACTTCTCGTACAAGGGGGCGTACTCCTTCTCGAATCGCTCGCGGTGGAAGGCGTTGTACTGAGGCTGCTCGACGATGGGCGCGATAAGGTGGTACTTCTCGGCGATCTCGGTCGCTTCCTGGATTTGAGCGGCAGGCCACTCTGACGTTCCCCAGTAGTAAGCGAGGTTCATATGGATCGCCTGCGTGAAGGCCTCAACGATCTCCTTCATGGGCACGCTGGCAATGTGTTAGCACTAGAGTAGATCTGGGTTTGTGCCAACATACTCAGGATCGTGACGGTGAGCGAACACGACATCAACGTAGTCGTGCTGCAGGCGCTTCAGGGAGCTCTTCAAGCCCTCAATGATGTGCTTCTTGCTCAGACCACGGGTGTTGGGCTCCTTCCTCGATGTTCCAAAGAACACCTTAGTAGACAGAACGTATTCGTCACGCGGCCATGCGAGCTCCTTGAAGGCGTTGCCCATCTCGATCTCGCATTGTCCAGCAGAGTAGACTTCAGCAGTATCGAAGAAGTTGATACCGTTGTCCCATGCTGCCTGCATGCACTCCTTGACGATGTTTCCTTTTTGCTGAAGATGTGTTAGCTTTGCCACTCGACTCCAAATGAATTGAGCTCTTACTGTTCCTCCGTAGGTCAGCCAGCCTCCCAGAGAGAAGACCGACACCTTGAGACCGGCAGGTCCCAGGCGGCGGAACTCCATGCCCTTGGGATCAAATTTTGACTCGACGGCAGGCATTGCGATGATTGTGTACTATTGTGACCGGGTATTGGTAATAAAGAAGGGTCAATTACCAGAACAGCGCAGTCAAATCACTCGATAAAGTATTGTGGCCTCGGAGTTAAGCAAATCCACTGTGTGTACAGCTGCGACCCCGCCATTTTGGCCGCGGCAGAGTTCGAAAGCGCGTTCAACATCTCGTCATGATTTGAACGAGCGCGGCTCATGATATAACAACCCAGCTCCACAGTGCAGGGTCAATCTGATGGCGGCGTAGTTGCCGTCACACCCGCTTATGTGCGTTGCAGTCAGGCTGCGGATGCGACCGAGCACAGTCAGCCAAACACGCCCAGAGGATGCGGAAAACACGAAACTGAAGCACCTATCAAGAGCTGGTTTAGGGTTGGACAGACGTGGTCGGCAAAAGCTTAATCATCGGTCTTGTTTCGAAACACAGGAAGGAATGACAGGTGCGGGAAACCTAGCGAATCACAGCCCCAGGACGGCTCAGCGCTTGACCATTCACAATCACCGTCGCCGCAACGACTGGCAGGCGTTCGTCGTTTAGCTCCAGGCGCCCCTGAGCATGAATTGCTCACTCTCTGGGATGAACGTTGTCAGCTTATGTTTAAATAGTTGCTTTGCCTCCTTCCAATATTCATCACACACACTCATTCAGCCACTTTGCTCTTACTGAATCTCCTTTGCTGGTCTAGGAATTCATACTTTCTTTCTCAGCCATTCATTCAAAAGCAGCCTCTACGAGTCTCTTCCACTTCTCTGATCTGATATCATATCGAACAGTTTTCAGACACACTTCTAAGTCTCCAAAACCATCAACATGCTCTGCAAGACCACCATTCTTTTGGCCGGTGCCTTCGCACTTGGTGCCCTCGCCGCACCCATTCCCGACTGCCCTGACAGCCAGACCGGGAACAACTACACCGCTCCTGGAAGCAACGACAAGGTCACTACTGGTTCTGTAACCGCAGACCAGCTTATCCAAATCGCTCCGGAGACTGCGTCCTGCTCTGGCGCTCCTTTCCCAGAGGAGTGCGCAGATGCCACCGTTGCGGCTACTGCCCTCAACAAGTCCTTCGACACATACGCCATCAAGACTGCTGGAGAGAAGGCGGCGCTCATCGCCTACACATTGTTCGAGTCCGGCAACTACAAGTACAGCAAGAACCACTTCCCCGGTCGTCCAGGACAGGGAACTCGCATGATGGCCTTCCCTTCGTTCATCGCGAAGTACGCCGATGCTGTTGTCGGCGCCGACGCTGTTGCTACAGCAAACGCTACTGGAGGTGACGCCGGATTGAACGCTGTTCTCGCTCTTGTCAACAGCGATGATGAGACGAGCTTTGGCAGCGCAGCCTGGTTCTACAGCACTCAATGCACCGCGGATGTCAAGGCTGGTGTCGCTGCTGAGACTGTTGACGGCTGGCATAACTTCTTGACAGCGTGTGTTGGAACCGAACTGGATGCGACTCGCGACACTCCGTGGGGTGCTGCTAAAGCTGTCATTCTTGCTTAGACCTCTGCTGGAGGCTTATGGCATGGGCTTTATTTTCATGATGGTGACGAGTATATCTTTTAGGTAGCGATGGAGCTAGGAGTATTTTTGGCGTGTTTATACCTTTTTGCATATCTATCAAGCTCAACGTTCAAATTCTTCATCGTATTGCTGTATTTTGCCATTCACTTCGTCTCGCTTAACCTGTCCGTTCCCAGGCATGCCAACAGCAATAGTAAGTTCAATGCGCATCTGGAGGCGCATGGCGCTTGTCCACTTCGATAACTCTGGCAGCCACGACACGATACATAAGCCGGGCCTTCCACACACGATGACCCGCCATTTTCCATTACCACAATGGCGCAGCAACCTCCAGAATTCACTACCACCTACGAATACTCGCCTCTCGAACCTCGTCACATTCGCCTGCTTGAGTGTGCACGCTGCGATGCATTCGAAGATGACACACCCGGCTTCACGTATCGCATTGTGCACGTTGAAGTACCCGAGAACGACCCAGCACCGGCATTTGAGGCTATTTCATACACCTGGGGCGACCCTCTAAAGACATCCGTCCTCCCGATCCACGGAACTGCAGGCCACATTGCACTCACAGCGAACCTTACTCGAGGACTTCCCCATATCAGCCAACAGTCAGCCACGAGGCGCCTTTGGATCGACCAGCTCTGCATTAATCAAGCAGACAACGCCGAGAAGTCTGCGCAAGTAGGTCTAATGTCTGAGATCTACAGCAAAGCAAGGCGTATCATTGTGTGGCTTGGCCCAGAAGATGACAGCAGTAGAGCTTGCATGGAATGGTGCAATGCACTCAACGGACTGCTAACAGTAGTACCAAACGCGGAACGGATGCAAGTCGACAAGAAAAATTATCACGACGCCTACCGATTCCTTGCCATAAAGGAGTCTTTCATGAATGGATCCTGGGGTCCCCGATTTACGACTGCCATCACAGACTTTTGGTCTCGCATGTACTTTACTCGCGGCTGGGTCGTTCAGGAGTATCTCTTGGCCCGCGAGCTGATCATCTTGACGGGCAACATATGGTTCAGTGTCCAGGACCTGGAGGATATGTTCTGTGTCCCTCCAAACACCGAGAACAGTGGGAGCTACCGTCAGCTCATACAGTTGAAGCGCTGGAAATACAATGGGGAAGAACCACTGGGGTTCTTCCGGAAAATGTCGACCTGCGCCCAAGAGTTTACGACAAAAGTCCCTGCAGATAGGTTGTACTCAATGACCGGACTGTTGGAAGACATAAAGTTCGTACCCAACTACGATGAAACAACAAAGCAGAACTTTACGCGCTTCGCTGCTACGGTGGCACAGAAGTTTGGATCTCTGGACTTCGTAGGCCTCTGTGCAGCGACAGTAGATCTCAAAATCCCAGATACACTCGAAGAATTCAAACACTTCCCGAGCTGGGTACCATCTTGGTCCGAATATCCCCTATTCACACCGTACCGCCTCGTCGTCGGCGGAACAAATACGGCTATGAACGACATCCTTTGGAACGCCGCTGCAGGGCGCAAACACATACAGGAGCAGCCTCTCATCTATACGACACTTTACCAACTTCACGTCCGCGGTAAGATCGTAGATTGGATCGATGTAATCAGCTCCAGGACAATGATTGGAAAAGAGAGAGATCATTTCAATACCGACGCCACGTACCTGGATGGGCTCATCGAAACCCTGAAGGAAGATCTCTCCTGCTGCTCGGCCTGGGAGCCTGTCGATCTCGTACACTTCCTCAACGGTGCAACACACAATGGAAGAGAGATCGAATCCTACAATTCTGCTCAAAAAATACTCAAGCCTGAGACTCGCAACACTACTATTCAGCCTGTCAATGAACATGGTGCGAATGACAGGCTGGCCTTGATCTTGATGATTGGGAGAGGGAGGCGGATGGCAACAACGGAGAACGGGAAGTTGGCTCTTGTCCCGTTCATTGAAAGTCGAGCGAAAAGTGAGACGAGGCACGGGAGTCCGATCGTGATCCTGCATGGATGCAGCGTGCCGCTTGTGCTGGAGTGTGTAGACAAGACTCGTAATGAATACAGGGTAATTGGGGAGGCGTACGTAGAAAAGTACATGCTCGGCGGGGCGGTCACTTGGGATGAAACTGAAGCAGACGAGTTCATTTTGGTGTGAAAAACATATGATACGATTCTCATTACGATTAACAATACTAAGTCTTCTCCAAAGATTTTCATGCCCAATGCCTTCCATCAGCCCGTCCACCCAATGCATCGACAGCAAAGGCACCGACATCCTCATACCCCATATTCTCCCCACACTCGGGACACACACACCTCTCTCGTCTGTCTATACTATTCTCGACCCATGCCTGCATGCACGACAAGCATGTCGAGGTTTCGTGCCAGCAGTTCGCTGTGATTCGTCGTGTACTGAAGTCATCCATAGGCTTCGAGGCTCGGCAGAGAAGACACGTGCGCTCAAGCATAGGTGTGCCGCGGCGTGGTGTCGAGGTGGATGAGCTTGCGAAGGCGGGTTGAGGTGGGGTCATGGTGGTGGGTGAGATGAAGCTCAAGCGTGAGGGTGCTGCGCTAGAAGCACTTGTCGGTGATGTTAGGCTTGTAGCCATGTGGGATGAGAATGTACTACTGCGGTGGGAGTGGAGTGATGTGGGACGACTCTCGAATGTATCGCGCGGCGAGCCTGGGCTGAGTGGTGAGGGGTAGCCGTGGCCTGGAGACAGCAGAGGATTGCTGCTCTTTCTCCGTTGTGGGTTGTTGAACGGATTGGAGATCGAAGCAGGTGGGCTGGGTGGTGCGGCGTTCGGGTCTGTTGTGCCTGCCCATGGTGCGAAGGGAGGTGGTAGGACAGCAGAATTGCGAGGCGACTTGTCGAACGACATAGCGAGCGGCGAGTGTTGTGGTGTGGGCAGGAGGTCGAGGGGTTTGAGCTGTGATCGAGGGCGTGGCGACGGTGTAGGCTCGACTTCGCTTTGAGTAGGCTCGTTGTACGAGGAGTAGCGGTGGGTGATTATGGGGGTTTGGTTGTTCAGCTCCGGCGCGTTTTGACTAACGCGACAGAACTCCTCGACGACAGTGGCTCTGTCGAGTTCGTTGGCATTGGAAGCACGACGCTTCGCTGGCTTTGCAAACTTGAGGAGGTTCGGTATTGTGGACCATCGATTCTTTGCCTTGCTTCCCTTCTCTACCCTGGCTGCCTTCTCCTTCTCTAACTCTTTCTCCTCATCACTCAGCATCCTGCCGCCAATGCGCTCGAATGTGTTCTTGCGTGTGAAGGGCGGCGCCGATAAAGGCACAGGTGATGCCACCAGGGTGTCCTTCTCATAGTCTCTCTCTTGTGCACCATACGTGTATGTAGTATCCTGATCGATACGTTCGTTGATTAAGATATCTGGGTTCTCGCCAGACATCTTACGCGAGAAATTCGGGTAGCTGTTCAGCCTGGAACTTCTTGAAGATGCAATCTTCGTCTTCGATCGGTTGCGCGAGTGGTATGTTGCGAACGATGTGGGACGCGGTCCGCCCTCCAGCCATGGCTTGCTGATGGACTCGAAGCTCTCTCGGCCAGAGTCGTAAGACTCGGAACGCTGGGGTTGTGTCGGTTGCGCTGGGTGTGCCGGCGGGGCAGCCCATGTCTGGGGATGTATGAGACGGAGGTCTGGCTCGGCCTTCTTGAACGACGAGAAGCTGGGTATTGAGGACAAGCTAGGCTTCGCCAGGAGGTTGGGGTTGTCGAGCTGCAGTGATACGGGTCGCTGCTGACGAGCGTTCTGTTTCAGGGTGTTCGATAGGGCAGCCCATTCTGGCGACGAGGAATACGAATCTATCGACTGTATCTCCTCTGGGTTGTAAGACGGTGGCATCCAGTTTGTTGTCTCTACTCGCTTGATATCGAAAGATTTCTCAAGCTTGCTGACCTTGGGTTCTGCAAGCCTTTGTACCGCTTCGACTGAGTCGAAAGACGCCGGCGAGGGTCGATCTAGCTTGGTCCATTGCTTCTGTGGTACCTCAGGTGAGATGTCGTATTCCTTGGTTACGTGACTGTCTCTATTGGAGGAGGCTCGATTAGCACGTGTCTGAGGTGTGATGGATGGCTCGAAGTCCTCGAAGATCGAGAGCCTTGACGACTGCTCGAAGTCGAAAGCTGAATGCCTCCATTCCATCTCGAATATGTCGAGTGAAAAGCGGAGAAGATAGGGACTAGGTTGTGGTAGAAAGGTACTTACTGGCGTGTGTGGGTCTTGCGTGCCTCGAGGGTTCGAGGTGAGTCGTCATCGGTCTCTTTTTCAGACTCCACATCTGAAACGTCCAGGTGCGCGTAGAGCGGTCTCTCCAGCCATCTTGTAGTGACTGACTTCTCACGGTACAATCTTGCTTCTTCCGAGTCTGCAATCAGTCCCAGCATGCGCTGCGCCTTCGCTGTATCTCTTGTGACTGGTCGAGGATGCCGAAGAGCAGGGTGCAAATCGAGCTGCGATTGGTCTTGCGCTAACATGGCCATGTGGATCATCGTTTGGTAAGTCGCCAACCAGCGATATCAAGAAGGGAAAGAGCGAGTGTATTGAAGGCCAAAACGAACGTAGGCACAAACAAAACAACAGGGCGGCGCACAAGAATTACTATTTCGCGACGGCGTGGGACAACATCGTGATTATCTGCATTCGCAATGCCACCGTTAGGGTAACCTAACACGAGGGCTGGGGTTGCACGTCCAGCCCACCAGCATTATCGCGGCTACACAAGACTTAACAGAACCGTTTCAAAGCTGCAGACCGTGCAAAATCAACGTTAGCTCATCTTACACGACAGGCGTGCTTGCTCATTCGCTGCTGGGGGATGTTCTCAAGGTTGTGCTGTTATCTTTCGCTCGGCTTGAGAGCGAACGATGCTAAAAATAGCCGCTAGGAATACGTGAACGCCACGACGCTTGTGGCAATGGGTAGTTCGAGGGTTGGTCAGAGTCACGAGAGGTGGGATTCGCGTGGATAAGGTTACGAGTTCGCTGATGCAGCGGGCTGGCTTTGCCGGCGATCCAAATTGGAGTCATGATGCACACCGAGAGAGCAATTTGCAGGACAACGGCTCACTGCATTTCAACGTCGTACTGTCGTCCTGGTTGCGAGTTGTGCATTGTTGTTCTGCATTGCTTGGTGTTAAAGTTAAGTGCTGGTGGCTGGTCAAAAGGCAAACCTCTCACGGTCAGCGGAAGCGATCGTCGTACGCTGGCCGCGTCTTATGGTAACGAACGGAAGCGACGGCAAGTAGCGTTCACCGGTAGTTCAACCACCTGGGCATGGAGAGGCTATGGTCGAATTTGTAACAATGGCATTGTTTGTGCACTTGGTGTCTGCTTGAGGGGCAGCAGCCCATGTGATGTATAGAGACCTGTCCAGGTTTCAATCCACCAAAATGTTATTCTGTAGACTCTAGGCTGATCATCATCGAAGAAATGGGTTGCGAGAGCTTTCGGAGATGAAAGATTGGTGTTTGCGCGGTACGCTCAACTGAGTATCTGAGAATGCCACATGTCGAGCCCTCAGTCATCTCCTCGTTACTTTGCAAAGTGAGAAACCCATTGCCAACTAGTTGCATGGCCACTCTCGAATCTATCATGAATTTATCCATCACCGCAATACGTTCACAAAAGCTGTCGTGGTTCGCTCGCTGCGAGCACGTGATCATGGCAGACCGGAAGTCGCGCTCGACACTAGCGCGCCTTCCGCGCCAAGAAGTTCATCGAAGCTCTGAGCAAAAGTTACGGACAGACGACAGCCTTCCACCCCAAACCTACCCCACACTGTCAAGTTACGCGCAACACGATGCCCGGTCAGCGCGCAGGAAAGAGCTCTAGGGCTGTCGGTCCCTCCGATGGGGGCTCGTCTGGCAAGCAGTCTCTGAGCGAGGCACAAGAATCAGAACTGTACGGCAACGGCGGCGACATGTCTGGCTACAATCTGTCCATCGCCGCTGCAGACGGGGACGACGACATGGAAGATGCCGGACTCAATGGAAGGTCCCTGGTTGGACAATACACAGCAACGAAAGACATGCTAAACGAGTTTGCGCATGGCGACACTGCGGAGGCAGATATTCTCGATAGCCGCGAGAAGCAGGCGCAGATTGCATCACGCGAGACCGACTACCAGCGAAGGAGATTCGACCGCAGACTATCACCAGAGCGCGCCGATGCTTTCGCTAAAGACGGGCAACAAGGAGAGGGCGCGACATACAAGGAGGTCATGGCGGCGCGACAGCTAGAACGTGAGGAGGAACGCGTCAGGAGGGTCATCGAGGAGAAGGAGAAGTCTGGCGGCAATGAAGTGCTGGACCACAAGCCTACGCTGAAGGATGATGCTCCAGCACCCGTCAACGGCGACAAGACTCCACCCATAGAGAAGAAGCGCAAGAGGAGAAGATGGGACGAGGGCGCCGCCGACGAAGCTCCAGCTGTCAAGGCAGAGGTAAAAGAAGAGCCGGAAGTCAAGAAGTCGAGATGGGAGACGGGACCGGAGGAACAAAAGGCCCCAGCACGATCACGATGGGACACCACCGCAGTAGCACCCTCGAGTGGCGCACCACCAGCACCAGCTACAGGTGCGAATGGCGCACGTCCTGCGATGCCCGCATACGCCTTCGGTACAGACATCTCCAACCGCAACGCCCCGCTATCCGACGAGCAGCTTGATATGATGCTCCCCGGCGAGTCTGAGGGCTACAAGGTGCTTAAGCCACCGCCAGGCCACGAGCCAGTACGCCGCCCTGTGGGCGTTCCACAGCTACCCACGGGATATCAAGGCTTCTTGATCCCAGAAGCAGACAACAGCTTGGCGGCCATGGGCAAGCAGCTACCAACGGAGATCCCAGGTGTTGGCGATCTGCAGTTCTTCAAGAACGAGGACATGAAGTACTTTGGCAAACTCACCGACGGAGCTGACGAGAACGAGATGACCGTGGAAGAACTCAAGGAGCGCAAGATCATGAGACTACTCCTGAAGGTCAAGAACGGAACACCGCCCATGCGAAAGACCGCGCTGCGACAGCTCACGGACAATGCTCGCCAGTTCGGAGCAGGAGCTCTGTTCAACCAGATCTTGCCCCTATTGATGGAACGTACATTGGAGGACCAGGAGCGCCATCTGCTTGTCAAGGTCATTGATCGTGTCTTGTACAAGCTTGACGATCTTGTACGACCATATGTGCACAAGATCTTGGTAGTCATTGAGCCACTGCTCATTGATCAAGACTACTATGCACGAGTGGAAGGTCGAGAGATTATCTCAAACCTTGCAAAGGCTGCTGGCCTTGCACACATGATCAGTACAATGCGTCCAGATTTGGATCACCAGGACGAATACGTACGAAACACAACTGCTCGAGCTTTTGCAGTCGTCGCGTCTGCTCTCGGTATCCCAGCTCTTCTCCCCTTCCTCCGCGCTGTGTGCAGGTCGAAGAAGTCATGGCACGCTCGTCACACCGGTGTGAAGATTGTGCAGCAGATCCCCATCCTGATGGGTTGTGCTATCTTGCCCCACCTGAAAGGTCTCGTTGAATGTATCGGAGAGAACCTGAACGATGAACAGCCAAAGGTCCGCATGGTCACAGCCCTCGCCCTTGCTGCGCTTGCCGAAGCCGCCAGCCCATACGGTATCGAGTCTTTCGACGATATTCTCAACCCTCTATGGACAGGTGCTCGACGACAGCGTGGCAAGGCTCTTGCTTCTTTCCTGAAAGCTGTGGGTTATGTCATCCCGCTTATGGACGAGGAGTACTCCAACTACTACACCAGTCAGATCATGGAGATTGTCATTCGAGAGTTCCAATCGCCAGATGAGGAAATGAAGAAGGTCGTCTTGAAGGTGGTCTCCCAATGTTCGAACACAGCAGGTGTTACACCAGTATATCTGAAGGACAACGTGCTGCCGGAATTTTTCAAGCACTTCTGGGTACGACGTATGGCTCTCGACAAGCGAAACTACCGCCAAGTCGTGGACACCACAGTCGACCTCGCTCAGAAGGCCGGTGTCGCTGAGATCGTTGGCCGCATCGTTAACAATATGAAGGACGAGAACGAAGCATACCGCAAGATGACAGTCGAGACCGTTGACAAAGTCATCAGCACACTCGGTGCGCATGATGTAGACCAGCGCTTAGAGGAGCAGCTGATCGACGGTGTCCTCGTTGCATTCCAGGATCAGACTATCGAAGATCCCATTGTCATTGATGGTTTCGCTACCGTTGTCAATGCACTAGGCGAGCGCACAAAGACCTACCTCCCACAGATCGTTGCTACAGTTCTCGCTCGTCTGAACAACAAGTCTGCTACTGTGCGACAGCAAGCGGCAGATCTGATCTCGCGCATCACGTTCGTTATGCAGAAGTGTGATGAAGACCCGCAGCTGATCAAACTTGCTCAGGCCCTGTACGAGTACCTCGGTGAAGAATACCCAGAGGTCCTCGGTTCGATCTTGGGCGCTCTCCGTGCCATTGTTACTGTCGTCGGTCTTCACGCCATGCAACCACCCATCAAAGATCTCTTGCCTCGACTCACACCTATTCTTCGTAACCGACACGAAAAGGTGCAGGAAAACACAATCGATCTTGTTGGTCGTATTGCTGATCGTGGTGCTAACTACGTCAACCCGCGCGAATGGATGCGAATTTGCTTCGAGCTGCTGGACATGTTGAAAGCACACAAGAAGGGCATTCGACGTGCTGCCAACAACACATTCGGTTATATAGCCAAAGCCATTGGTCCTCAGGATGTGTTGGCCACACTGCTTGGTAACCTGCGTGTTCAGGAACGTCAGTCCCGCGTCTGTACCGCTGTCGCCATCGGTATCGTCGCCGAAACTTGCGCTCCCTTCACAGTCCTACCTGCTCTGATGAACGAGTACCGTGTACCAGAGCTCAACGTTCAGAACGGTGTGCTCAAGTCACTGTCATTCATGTTCGAATACATTGGCGAAATGGCCAAGGACTATGTATACGCCATCACGCCTCTGCTTGAAGACGCCCTCATCGACCGAGACCAAGTGCATCGCCAGACCGCCGCGTCAGTCGTCAAGCACGTCGCCCTTGGCTGTGTTGGTCTAGACTGCGAAGATGCCATGATCCACCTGCTCAACCTTTTGTGGCCCAACCTGTTCGAAACCAGCCCTCACGTCATCGACCGCATCGTCGAGGCTATTGAGGGTATCCGCAATGCTGTCGGCACACCACTGGTCATGAACTATGTATGGGCTGGTCTCTTCCACCCTGCCCGTAAGGTCCGACAACCATACTGGCGCATTTACAACGATGCATACGTGCAGTCAGCCGACGCAATGGTGCCTGCATACCCTACGTTCGAGGAGGAAAACATGAGGAGACACGAGCTGGACATCTTCATCTAAAAGTGAGAGCATTCGACCTTTCTTTGGTATTGTCGCCCACCATGTGTATCATTATCGGCGAGTAGATTGGAGTTTTGGGCGTTGTTAACCTTGTATAAGAGCGACGCAGGCAGCCTTCCGTGCAACAGCCTTCACAGGGAACGATAGTTGGACACTAAGTATGGTAACGAAATACAATCTGTAACCCATTTACAAGCTGATCCAATCTAGATCTTCGTGACTTGCTCTTCTGATTACATCCGTACTCTATATTCATGCGGTAAGTCCTACGTGCCGTCCCTCCCAGTGCTAACACTTTAACAATAATTCGCTCTCTTGCCTGAAACGCTTCAGGCACTCATTTCTTCGGAGAACCCGTCAACCGAGCGTCTCGATTGCTGGTTCCTTCCGACGTCCTCGTCGGGTTCGTACTGCTCGATTTCCCTGGTCTTGTCAGCAACAGACCATAGTAAGTTCTCTCGGACAACTGTCGCCTATTCAGATCGACCATTTGCCTCGCCAACATGGATGCTTGCAGGGCAATGAGAGTGTCTTTTTGTGCTGATATATTCGCTGTGATCCCTCGCACCCTTTGTCTGCGAAGGAACCACGTCATTCTTGAGAAAGTGTCGAGCTTCTGTTCACATCGTCAGAACAACGGTTGTGGTGAAGTACGGTCGTCTTGCTTACCTTGCCCTGCAGCTGTGACAACATCTCTTTGTTTAACTTTACATCCCACGATTGTACCTTCGCAATGATCCCTAGTAGAACGTCCTTCTCGTTACCAGTTGCATATTCTACTTAGGTGTCAAAAACCTGTCGCTAGATGTATACAGAGACAACCATGTTGTTCTGCGCGCTGAATCACGTCTACTGCAATGACCCATACTACGTGCAGGACTTGACCAGGCGTACACAGCCTGGTCATCGTGCAGTTATAACAAAGATCAGTTTGACCTGCCCGTGCAGCGAGATGGTTGAACGATAGTCCGGCTATCTCCTTTCATGCTTCCTGGCTTGATGCCGGTACATGTGTGTTGCGTACGTTGCGTACAAAAGCATTGCTGCGACGATCGCATTGCGACCGTGAGCATCGTCAAGGATATCAGGGCCATCCCAGGCAAGCCGGATATTGAGGTGTGGATCGTCTAACGACTGGAGTATCGGCTTTCCACGCGCCTTCCTGCTCAAACCTCAAGGATGGGCGAGGGGAGTTGGGGGCGTTGTTTGGGCGAGCGTTGGGGGTTACTTCGAACGTCATCGAGGATGTCAAGCCATGCTGGATGCGAAGGCTCGAGAGACTAAGAGTAAGGGGGGCAAGCCTTGCGCTTTTATGCAGCAGAGCTTTCGATGTGAAGGAGCACGAGGAACACGCGTCTTGCTTGAGGCAACTATGGAAAGAGGCCAGCATTTGGACCTGCCCGAACAGTCTTTGTAGGTCTGTGTGCGATCTCCACCAATAACCATGTTGATCATGTCCGGGACATTTGAACAATCACCATGTTATGTGTACAGTGGCCGAGCAAAGAATAAAGAGGCGGGGACCAAATACGTAATATAGCTGGTACATTCATCGTGAGACGGCGCTTCATGTTTATTGCTTGTAGGCATTTATGAAGGCAGCTACCAAATCAGGAACATATGCCTTGATTGGGGAAAGAAATAGCCGATCTGCACCTATGATTGTCCGTTCGTCAATTTGAGAGATACCTATCGCGTTTGTTCTGAATTCGTCTTTTGGTCCGACAGGACAGATCTGGACCATAGCTTGCACATATACTCGATTTTGGGGAACAAAAGGAAACGCTGTGGATGTAGAGAGATGCAGGAGCAGGAGCAGGAGCAGGAGCGAGGGGGATGTTTATATACATGATTGGCCGCCTCACAGCTTGATCTGCCAATCACTAAGCCTGAACCCACGGTCAAACGAAGGAAGACATACGTGACGTTTGTGAAAGTCCAAGACCAGTTCGTTATTACTGTCGCTATCTATAGGAATGCCATCGCTATGCATACACTCTACAATGCTTCCAATCCAACACCCATCAGCATACCGCCACCTAAACAGCACTCACATCCAATCCAGCCTTCTCCAATCCATCCTTGAACAGATCCTTGACATCCTTCGCCTCGCCCTCACTCTTCATCTGCTGCAACAGCATAGCCTCCACGGCATTAATCCCCGCCTCGTCAGCTTTACTCAGCGCCGGCGTCGCAGTCCCGCTTGTAATAGCACCCTTCTTCTTCCCCTTGTTCGAGCCAGCATCATCCTGCTCCTCACCCTGCACCATCTTATCCAGCTCCAACTTGCTCACACCCAGTGCGTAAATCTGCTCTTCAACCGTGTTCTTAGTGACCAGGCGGACGACTTCGACTTCGCGCGTCTGGCCGACGCGGTGCGCGCGGTTTTCGGCCTGGATGTCGTCTTGTGGGTTGAAGCTGCTGTCGAAGATGACGACTTTGTTTGCGCACGCGAGGTTGATGCCTGCGCCGCCGGATTTGGTGGAGAGCATGAACACGGGGATGGAGGTGTCGGAGTGGAATACGTCCATCAACCCTTGCCGCTCAGCGATTGGAGTGGAGCCGTCCATACGCATGAAGGGGATGTCGTGGTCGTCGAAGACCCAGCCAAGGATATCCATAACGCTTGTGAATTGTGAGAAGACGAGCGCTCGGTCGCCGTTGGCTTTGTACTTTTTCAGCAGCTTGAGGAGGGTTTGGACTTTGCCGCTGTCCATCCACTCACGATCCTTGAGCTCGAACTTCTTCAGAGCGCCCGGGTATTTGAGAGCCAGGTGGTGGCATTGGTAGTCTTGATACAGCTGCAGTTCTTCGTAGATGATGTCCGGGTTGCTCTCTGCGAAGGTGTCTTCGCGTAAGCATGCCTTGGACATCTTTCGGATTTTGTCGTCGGTGTATCGGTGGCGGAAGAGGAGTGGGTGGATAGCTGCCTGTCGGAGCTTCATCATGACGTTTGCGTGATCCTTTACAGGGAGGCCAGCGGCGCGGTCGAGGAGAATCTTGCGCTGCTTCTGCAACTGCTTATCGTACAAAGTCTTTTGTGTGCCGGTGAGCTCACAATACTCAACACGGCAAGTCTTCTTGGGCAGATGCTTCAGCACCTGAGCCTTCTTGCGGCGAAGTATGAAGGGCGTCAGCATGGTTCGAGCGCGCTGGACACGCTGTGCCGAAAGCAGAGTGCTGTGAGAATTGCTCTCGGTGACCTTAGCCTTGTGCTTGAACAGGATCTGTAGCATCTCTTGCACACTGTCGTCCTGCTTGTCGTAGAAGACGTCCGGCATCAGGAAACCAAGGATGGACATGAGCTCTTGCAGACTGTTCTGCAGCGGCGTACCCGTCAGAAGAATTCTGCACTTCGGTGTGATTCGCATCAAGCTCTTGTATCGTGCAGTGTTTGCGTTCTTCAGGACATGACCTTCATCGAATATGCAAATCTGGGGCTTGCACTTTCGCAGGAAAGCGTTGTCCTCCTTCCTGTACGCCAGATCGTAGGTAGTGATGATGACGTCGCAATTCCCGGTCTCAATGTTGTCTCGAATGGTGTCTTGCGATTCGAACCGCTCGGCTTGCGAGCCATAGTACGGTGTGAAGCTGATCTTTCTTGAGAAGCGCTCGAACTCACGACACCAGTTCTCCAGCGTGGATCCAGGCACAATGATCAGCGTTGGCCGCCCTTCTCCTTGCTCTTTGAGGTGCGACAGGAACGCGATGACTTGGCAAGTCTTGCCCAAACCCATGTCGTCGGCTAAAATACCAGAGATGCCGTTCTGCCATAGCAGGTTCAGCCAGTTCAGACCAACAACCTGGTAGTCCTTCAGCTGGATGTCGTCGTTCATGATAGCTGGCTGCGTCAGGAGCTTGATCTTGCTGCTAATCTTACGAAGGCCGCCGCTCTCAGTGTCGCTGCCATGACCGCTCTTGGGTGTGTGGTATCCAGAATCGCGGGCCGAGCTGGTGTCACTGCTGTCATCCAGAGTAACTGCATCCACCTCGCCATCTGTTGATGCGCCGAAAATACTAATGCCCCAGCGCGCCATGCCAGCTACCATCGGCTTTCCAAGGCCCTCGCACTGCTTGACAACCGAGTCAATCGTCGAGTACGCATCCCACATGTCTTCGGCAGACTCGACCAGTCGAGCACCGAACGTGATCCTGGGTTTGCGTGCCTTCTTCTTACCCTTCTCCTGCTCTTCTTTCGCCTTCGCGTCTACGTGGATTGTCCGAACCGCTTCCAAAGACTTGAAAGGCCGCTGTTTTAGCAGCTCGTCTATGTCCTCCTCCTTGTGGCCGGACAAATCGACCATTGCCTCGACAGAGCAATCGTTGAAGAAGTCTAGCAGTTTCGACTCGCTGAACTTGTGGTCCTTCTCCGAGTTCGCCCCAGCATCCGAGTCGTCGTCCGATATAGCAATGATCCCGTCATCATCATCATCATCATCATCATCAATTGAGACCACGACCGGCGCTTTCGCTTGTGGTTTGACCTCCTTGCTCTGCGGTCGCGGCGGCGTCATAGTATCGTCGTCACTCCCAGGGTCCACCTTTCGCCTCCCGCGAACGAGTCTCCGTTTCTTGGGTTGCTCGGCATCTGTTGTCGCAGGGCTCGCAGTCGCGCTTGGGGTACTATACGTCGGTGCCTGCTTCGAGTACTTGTCCATCAGCGACTTCACGGGTGCGTTGAGTTTACGCTGCGCCGTCTTCTTGGGCTCTGCGACGCTCGTGCTGCGCTTCGCGACACCGATCTGCGGCGACTTGAGCAGCTCATCGTCCGAATCCTCTTCGATGAGATGTGCCGAAGCATCCTCGAAGTGGCCGTTCTTGTTCACGAGTGCCTTGTAAAGCACGCTAACAGGTTTGTTTCCGAAGATGGCCTGTAGCCTCGTTGTCTTCCTTCGGAGATCGAAATCCTGAATGTCACTCAACGCCAGACCGTCACCGACTGTCAGATCCACGTCTACCGGCATGGCGCGACTCGGTCCACCCTGTCGAGGCAAAGGCCTCACCTTCTTCGGCGGTGGACTCTGGCTCCGCGTGACTTCATCAACACCGCGCTTCCGTGACGCCTGCTGCACGACCTTGTATGCATAGCCTGAAAGATCCCAGCTCGGCGGCTTCGGTGGTGTTTCCTCGACTCTTGACGCGCGACTGCCCATCTCCACCTTACTGAGCGGGATGTTCGACCTGAATGACGACTCGTCCTCGTCTGGGTCGCGTTCGACAGGCGCGTCGTCCGAAGTGAGATCGAACACAGGTTTGCGAACAGCTTGCGGGGGAAAGAAGCCCGTGCCTGGCGGAGCCATCGGGTTGAAGCCGTACGGGCGCTGTGTCTGTGCTTGCGACTGTAACTGCGACTGCGATTGTGCAGCGGGCGAAGAGAGGCGCTCCAGACCGGGCGACGAGCGTGGGACTTGCAGTCGCGGCGAGGTTCCGAGTTCGATTGGAAGTGTACGGTTCGCTCTCGGCGTGAGCAATTGCGTGGGCTGGGTGGCATCAGACGTGAAGTATTGCGGGCGGGCGGGCATAGGCTGTGTAGGCTGGGTGACGTAGGCGCCCTGCTTGTCTGGACTGCTGGAGCGCCTTCGATGCGGGGCGGGTGGAGGCGAGGAAGACATTATGGGGTCCTCGGGGCACATTGTGCGGGTGGAAGTTCGAGTCGGGTAGTATTGAAGTTGCCGGAGGGCTCGCGGCAGTGATGGACAGGCGCGCTGGAAATCCAGTGACAAAAGTCAACAGCCAGACTGTGAAAGGGTGAACGAAGCGCCAGACGTGTCAGCCATGCAGTGTGTGAAAACCGCAGACTGAAAGGCGCGAGAGGAAGACAAGGTAGGAACTTAAAAGTGGCCGGGACGTTTGTTTCTTGTGCTTCGACTTCAGGCGCGCTTTTCGATGGGCGCGTTAAGTGGTGGCCAGTGCGCCAACTACGTTGATGGGGCTTTCGACTTGGATTCGGCCGGCGTGCCTGTCCAGGGCTGTGAAGGCGTCCACGCAAAGTCGACCTCCAAACAACAACCAAAACCAGACAAGATGACAACACGAAGAATCGTGAACGACGAGAAGACGAGTCTGGACTACGATGGCAGGAGCGCGCCGGGGCCGTCGAACACCTCACCTGCCGTTCCTTCGTGAGTGTTTGCCTGCCATTTCTGTGGAAGCCGTCTGGGGTGCATCGTTGCTGCCTATGCACCTTAACTTCATACCTACGCTTCCAGCGTTGCGAGTGTTTTGTTCAATATCAGAGCCCTTCTCATGTAGTACACAGTGTTCCTAACTTCTCCAGCGGCGTCATCTTCAAGTTGATGTCCTTTACATTCGCCATGATTACATTACCGATTGGCACCTACTTCTTCACCAACGCCTACGTGTTCAATGGCAAGTTATGTCACACCCTCTTTGGTGCGGGCTGACAGTTTCAGGCAACGCAACATATGCTGGTGGTCTAGCTGCTCTCATGGCGAACGTTGTCCTCATCGGCTACGTGATCATGGCCTTCCTGGACGACCAGAAAGAGCAGGCAGAAGAGGCGGACAAGGAAAAGAAGCAGTTGTAGTATAGCCGACTCGGAAGGGGTGCAGGTCGCGGGAGAACACGAGCAGATACTGCCTCACTGCAAGGACACGAAGAAGTGCCTTGGTTGAGGAAGTCGGAGAGAGGAGAGAGGAGAGTGGTGCACTCCAGGACACAAGGGTCACACGCATCGTAGTCGAAGGATCGAAGAGCAAAAGTTCAGGCCAAAATAACACGCTGCATTACAAATTACTACGTAGCTTTTGCACATGCCAAATGCAAGAATCTCCTGTTAGCATACGCATACGCCTAAGGAGTGACTTCCCCTCCGTCCCATATCTGCGCCCATACTCCATCGTGTACCTATGCCCAATACCATGTCATGGCTAAGAATGCCTTTACCTCGGCCGTGACATCTGTTGGGAGATGCTGATTGTCCTCCAAAATGCAAGAATGTGGTATATGGTCATCAAAATCGTCCACCACATACTCGCTCACGCCGTCTCCTGCACACCTTCGATTCAAGAGAGGGGGCTGGTTAGTCCTTGCTGAACCGCCTCTTGAACCAACTCCTCCTCTTGTCCTCGCCGCCTGCGCTCTCTTTCCTCAGCACGCCTGGCCTACCTGCCGGTGCGACACCGCCCTCTCCACCACCAAGCTTGATCGGCGCCGCCTTTGGGGGCGCTGTCTTCGCGGTATGTGGAGGCGGCGGCGGCACACCATACTGCTGTTGTTGGTTCGGCACGTATCCTCCCTGCTGCTGTCCGTACTCTTCTCTGATCGGGCCGCCGTAGCCATTCGCGCCGTATTGGTCGCCCGTATCGCCCTGTGGCGGGCGAACAGGCATCGAGCGCTCAATGGACGAGTTCTCGCTGTTGGGGTCGGTACCGTAGGCACCATCGCTGTGGCTTCCATTAGAGCCATTCGTGTGCACCGTATCGCGGCTCTGCTGGTAACCATTCGGCGGTGTCTGGCCATATATGTTCTGTCCCTGGCTCATGCGGCCGCCCTGGCTTCCCCACCCAGAGTCAGACTGCATGCGGTTGCCATAGCGAACTCTTGGTGGTCCGCCGACGGGGCCACCCTGGCCGTAGCCATTGTCGTAGGAGTCGCGGGGAGGACGTCCGTGGCTCTGGTTGCCGTAGTAGCTGTTGGAAGAGTAGCGCTGGGCGTCTGGTCCACCGCCGTAGTAGGAGGATCTGCGCGAGGCGCCGCCGTAGTTGGACATGACGTCGGTCTGGTCCGAGTGCATCTGCGAGGCGCGGCGGCGGTATTCGCCATCAATGGCGGCTTCAAACGAGCGGATGGTGTCGAGCGGACGCTCCCATCGCGAGCGAGTGGGGTTGGAGAGGTCGGGTTCGGCTGGTGTTGTTGTTAGCAATGTGTTCTTTCTGTATGTAGGACAAGACTCGCCAATCAAGTTGCCATTGGCATCGCTGTGTTGGAAGGAGCGGAGGGACTGGAGCGTGGGCTTCTCGAGCGCAGCAGCGACTGGCAAACATCAGCATGCAATTCACAATGTCTCCAAGAATGCACAATGCAGGACATACTGGGCTGGGCTTCGTTCATGGCGGCGTTCGGGTTCGCCTTGGTGGTGGGATCGTAGTGGGTCTTGCGGCGCTCGCTGTCGCTCTCTTTGCGACTGTGCTTGCTCTTAGGGCCCGTGGAGCTGGTGTTGTGGTTGTGGTTGCTGTTGTTGTTGTTGCTGTTGTCTTGGGAGCCCTGGCTGCGAAAACTAAAGGCGCTGGACTTCGCGCGCGCACGCCCTTGGTCAGGCCTAACCTGCTGCGAATCCATCGTGGCCGACATGTCCCAGTTTTCCTAAAACGCTACGGCTACAATGAGGCTGGTGAGCGGGTAGAGCGGAGCACTGTAGCAACCGTCTGCGATCGAGTGGAGCGCGGCGAAGTGTTGGGGTGCGGTGTGAGCTGTGCGTGGGGATCCGCTGAAATGAAGGCGATAGCGATAACGTGGTGCGACGGCGATGTTTCGTCTGCGCGCACGATGGTGGTGATGGCGATGCAGAGCGAGCGCAGTGAGGACGACCGATGGCGCGACGGCGGCGGTATTATCAACTGCTCCAGAGGCCGCGCAATAGTGAATGTTGAGCCCGGCTGGACTGCGTAATGGAGCGATACACGGGAAGGCGGAGCTGCTGGAGCCAATGACAAGGTGGAGGATCGCCTGCAAGCTTCTGAAACGCTCTGTACGCCGAGTGTAAGACACTGCCTCACACGTCAATGATCGCCTCAGACAGTGGAACGACGGTGAGCAACGTGCTGTTGATGCCTGACAATGACTGCCCCTTCACAAAGCAGAGTCGAGTTCATTCGTTCACTGTTGTTGTGCACGCAAACACTCGTCTATTCCTCGCCACCGGCCGCTGCAATCGCTGCGCAGCCGCTTGTATCCTAAAAAAAAAGCGGTCATTCTTGGAAATAGCCCAGCCACACACTCGATGAATCAAGTTTACCACCCAGCCCAGCCCCGTGGCAACCGCACCACATGGCTCCAGTGACATGCAGTCGACCAGCCATTTTACTCTGCGCTGTACGAGGGATTGCTAGCGAACATCTTGAGTCTTCACACCGCATCGCGCTGCATAACTCCTCAAGCACACGCTGTTCGTCTGGGTAACCTGTCGTGATTACACGCACATCTGTACTCGCACAACCTACGCCCCAAAGCAGTAAAGCCGATGCACGCTGCGTGTCCAGCTTGGTACAGCCCCACGCCTGTCAGTCGCTGCTATAAACGCAGCAAGTCTAGCCTACGATGGAAAGACTTTCTGCCCATCCCAAAATCCCATGTCTGCACATCGCAATCAGCATAACAAAAGCGTTGCGCGTCTGTGGGCCGCCCATTGTTGCAGCGCCGTGCTGAGACCACGAGCGACGTCAACGTTGTGGAGCTGCGCGTGGCAGCCCGCTGCAGCTCCGCTTCAGAAATGTGGGTGGCTTGAGGCTGCCGGAAGATCTACTGCAATGCTGGCAGAATCGATAGAGGATCGTTATCACGCCCTTATCCATGCTGTGCGTCCTGCTCGCTTCGGGACGAGAACCGGTGCATGCCGCCAGTTAACGAGTCTGCTCAGTTCACGTTCAACAGCATGTGCAATGTTCACTGTGTGAGTTGAAGTGAATTGCTTTTGAATACCTCCAAGTCAAAACGCCAACAAGTAGTATATACAAGCATTTTGGTGTCCCAAAGCCATGCAAACTTAATCACTCAGCCTCCGTCTGATCATTACATCTAAGAGTGTGTAGGCATAGCAACATCCGCCTTCGTCGCAATCGCATCCTCGCTCTTCCACAGACTTGTCACGGTCTTCTGCTGTGTGTAGAATTGCAGACCGGGCTTGCCGTAGAATGTGTTGGCGCCGCCGCCGGCAATCGACTTCTTGTTTCCGGTGAAGGAGAACATGGGCAACTATGACCTGTTAGCAACCATCTCTGGACTGTGAAGGGTGGGTGAACTTACAGGTACGGGAATGGGGACGTTGATACCAACCTGACCGGCCTCAATCTCGCGCTGGAACTTGCCAGCTGTCGCACCGGAGCGTGTGAAGATGGCTGTGCCGTTACCGTACTCGTTTGCGTTGATCATCTCAATGGCCTCATCGATGGTCTCAACGTTCAAGCAAACCAGCACTGGGCCGAAGATCTCTTCGGTGTAGCACTTCATGTGAGGCTTGACGTTGGCGATGATGGTAGGGCCCACCCAGTTACCATTAGGGTACTTGCCGGACTCAGGCTTCTGGCCACGACCGTCAAGGAGGATAGTGGCACCCTCTTCTTCGGCGCTGGTAATCAAGTCTTCGATACGCTTCTTGGACTCGGGGCTGATGACGGGGCCGAGGTCGGTGTCCTTCTCGAAGCCACCGTCCATCTTGAGGGCCTTTGCGCGATCGGCAATCTCAGAGACCCATTCCTTGGTCTCGCCGACCAGGACGAGGGTGCTGAGGGCCATGCATCGCTGACCAGCGGCACCGAAAGCAGCACCAGAAATGGCGTTCAGAGCGTGGTTCTTGTTGCAGTCGGGGAGGACAGCAGCGTGGTTCTTAGCACCAAGGTTGGCCTGGACACGCTTGCCGTTGGCGGAGGCACGCGAGTAGATGTACTCTCCGGCCTTGTTGGAGCCGACGAAGCTGATGGCCTTGATGCGGGGCTCGTCGAGGATGAAGTCGACAGTCTTGGCCGAGCCGTGAATGATGTTGATGACACCGGCAGGGAAGCCGGCCTTCTCGGCTAGCTCTGCGAGAATCATGCACGCACCGGGATCGCGCTCAGAGGGCTTGATGACGACGGTGTTACCAGTAACGGCGGCGATAGGGATAGTCCAGAGAGGAATCATAGCAGGGAAGTCTGGGTAATGTGTTAGCACAATGTTGCTCTTGGGCCCAATGGGCACTCACTGAAGGGGCAGATAGCCGCTACAACACCCAATGGCTCCCTGTAGCTGCGAGTCTCCATGTCCTTCGCAACCTCAAGAACCTCGCCGGTCATCTGGGTGGTGATACCGCAGGAGGTCTCTGCGACCTGCAGACCACGGAGAACATCACCTCGCGCATCAGCAAAGGTCTTGCCCTGCTCGAGTGTGATACTGGCAGCCAGTCTGTCCCAGTTCTCACGGATGAGGTGTGTGTACTTGAACATGATCTGCTGCCTGTGAAGCAAGCTGGTCGCTTTCCATGCCGGGAACGCCTTCTCAGCGCTGTCGACCGCAGCCTTGAGCTCCTCATCGGTGCTCTGGGGGACCCTTGTTACCAGGTTGTTGGTGGCAGGGTCATTCAGATCGATCCATTGTGTTGCTTTCGAAGCTACAAACTTGTTGTCAAGGAAGTTTGGGGTGTCCTCTGGCGACTTGATCTGCTCGTGGCTCGTCACGTAGTTTTCCGCCGCAGCAACGCCCGCAGGCTTCAAGTGCTGTGCGGTGGCATGCAGCCGCCTGGCAGCGACCTTGTTGGCGCTCACTGGGGGCAACATTCTGGTGCAAAGAGGTGCTGCGCGGTGGAGAGAGGAGCGAGCGACCAGCGCCGGTATGCGTGCGATAGCTCGACGGGATGCCATGTTTCCGCTAAACCGACAGAGGATGGAAGGCAACGAGGATGAGTAGGAGCTCGATTCTACCACCAGAAAACGGGCTCAGCTACTTTTAGAAGGTTCGGAGCAGACGAGTGACCACGATAGCAATAGGCTGTTCGCGGCTTTGAAGGGAATGGGATTCCGACCTGCTTCTCGTGACCGACGGTTGATGTGGAGCACTCCCCGCTTCCGAGGTTCAATGTAGCTCTCTCCCGCACCTTGCTTCGCGGCGTTAGTCTAGTCGGAGAGAATAGCGATACGTAAACGCGATAAACGCCATACTCGATTGGGAGAGTCACTCCGAAGGTTCAGCTCCGTCATAGGACACATTGTTTTGTGTAGCAAGCACACACATGATGAAGTTGACAACAATGGTCATAGATATGATGATGTTCAAAGTTGATTCGTTATCCCAATCACAAAGTAGCGGCTATGATACACTATACGCCTTTTTACCCGAACGATATTTAACGTTGTGTCAATCAATCCCAATCGCCTTCGCGATATCAATTGCCTCCTAGACGCTTGTGTCTGGGGCTGGTCGCTATAAAACAAATTCTTCACATCTTCGTGCACCTCACTGAAACCCAACGCTCGCCGTCGCTATCTACTGGGCAGATGAGCGGGTCTGACGCTTGTTGACCTCAGCCTGTGCCTTCTCGGAGCCGGTTGCGACTGCCTGAGCGGCCTTGTCCTTGGCGTCAACAGCAGTCTTCTTAGCCTTGTCGGCCTGAGCCTTGAGCTGCTCCTTGGAGGGAGCGGCACCGGAGCCAGCGAAGAGAGAGACGAGGAGAACGAGGAGAGTGACAGCGAGAGCGGCGATACCACCAGCAACCTCAGGGACGAACTTGACTGCCTCAACGGGGTCGCGCTTGGCGATCTCGATGAAGAGATTGAGTTTCTCCTTTATGTACAGAGCTGGGTCGTCCTTGAAAACGAGGTCAGAGGGCGACTTGGGGGACTCCTTGGGCTTGGGGGCGGTGGCCTCCTCCTCGGCCTTCTCAGCCTTGTGCTTGGGGACGAAAGTCTCTTCCTCGAGCTTCTTAGCATCCTCAACGGAGTGACCGATGTAGATGTTGTCGAACAGAATGTCGTTCTGCATAGACCAGAGCTCAATACCAACGGCACCGATGGGCTCGAAGTTGGCAGGGGTCTTGTCCTCGAAGTAGTTGGGGTTGGCGATCTTGCGAGGAGCCCAGACGCCCTTGTAAGCGGGGTTGTCAATGAAGGGAGCGGTCCACTTGCCCTTGTAGGCAGGGTTCTTGATCATGGGAGGCTCCCACTTGCCGCAGCCAGAGACCTCGTCACACTTGGGGTTGGGGACGGTAGGGGCGACCCAGTCACCATCCTCCTCATCATCCCAGTCCTGGGGCTTCTCAGCCTCAGGGTCGGGGATGGTGGTGGGCTCATCCTCGAGCCAGTCCTCGGGCTTCTCGGCGGTCTCGTCGACAATCTCGAAAGGAGCGTCCTCATCCCAATCCTCGGGCTTGGTGGCCTCGGGGTCAGCGATGCGGGCCTCGTCGACCCAGTCCCCAGGCTTCTTGTCCTCAGCATCATCGATCTCAGCCTCGGGGTTGACTGCAGGGGTGAAGTCCTCGAGAAGGGTACCGTTGCGGGTAGACTCGCCGTCGATCTTGATCTCGAAGCTCTGGTCGGGCTTGACGATCAGAGTGTAAAGTGTGGAGGTCTTGACGATGCGGGCCATCGGGGGGTTCTTGAGGTGCTTCTCCTCGTATTCGCCCGTCTTGGGGTTCTTGTGCTTGAAGATGAAGTGGACCTGCCATTGTTAGCTTGGGGTGGAGCAGTTGAGGTGGAGAACCGTACCTTGTTGGTTGCACCGCACTTGTCAGGACCGAACATGATCACGTAGGGAGAGGCGTTGGAGAACTCCTCAGCGTGAAGAGCTGCCTCCTCCTTGAGGAGCTTCAAATAGGCACCACCGCACTCGAGGCCGTCTATAGACATGTTAGTTGAACGTTCATGCGCAAATACGACGCAATTGGCTTACTCTGAAGCTTGACCTCGTACTGCACAACAAGGGTATTGTCCTTGTTGTCAACAGCCTTGGGGAACTTGGCGGAGATGGCGTGGTGAGCAGCCTTGTCCTTGACGACGAGACCCTTGTCACCCTCAACACCCTTCAGGACGGTAGGCTCCTCGACGGCCCAGGTACCAATGTATGCCCACTCCTCATCGTCGGCCTTGACGTCCTTCTTTGCGTGCGAGGCCTTCCATCGGCTCTCCCAGTCGTCTGTGAACTGCTCGAGGAAAGGAGCCTTGAGTGTGGTGGGCTGTAGTCATTGTTAGCGTACAAGGTCATCAGAGGCTGTAGCGAATCACATACAGTGAAGGTCGGCTTCGCAACTGAAGTGGAGGAGGAAGCCTCAGCAGCGGGCTCTTCAGCACGCACAACGGCGGCGGCGAGCGCTGCGGTAGCTCCAATTGAGAAACGCATTATGATTACCTGCTGTCGGAGAAGGGCAGAGGTCTTGGGTGGAGAGATTCGAGGTTGAGTAGTGGAAGAGGCGCAAGCTGGGACGCAGCGGTTGATAAATAACTGCGGGAGGAAGCTCTGAACGTGAACGTGTCAACTTGGGGCTCACGATCTCATTGGCTGTTTCGCGCTACCCCTGCACTTCCGAGGCCCTAAAGCTTCATGGTTCATGACAGTTCGAGAAGAGCGAACACTTGGCCTCTCACTATAATTGTCAACAAGTGAAACGAAGGGCTTCACATAGTGTATTCAGCTTCATCCCTTCCCTCAGATCGCTTTCACCTCGATCACAGCCTCCCTGCAGCAGCTCCTGCCCCACTACGAGCTGTTGGCGCTAGGGTTCGCTAGGCTGAGGGAGCTCTTTGTCCGCAGCCGTGGCACCGAGACAGTTGATCGTTCGCAGGAGTTACTTGGTGGTTCATGCTGTCTGTGCATGGTGATGTTCCAGCATAACAGTCTTTGTGGCCGAAGCTGATAAACGGCGCATCCCTTGACAGGCTGCCAAATACCTGCTCGTGCGTTTCGAAACCATGGGAGGTACTCGATGCTTGTTTGCAGACCACCTGCAACCTGACAAAGTATTACAGGAACCACAGCAATGTGTGCAGATATCAGAATGCGATTACAACGATCGTGCCGGAGGCCTCCAGAAGTGATACGAACGCGCTCATTGTTTGATTGTTGCAATCACTGTTCTCTGCAGCATGAGAGACAGGTCAGCTCCCCTGCATGTTACACGCACGCAGTCGAATATTCGGTCCCCTTTATGTTGAGAACCAAGATGCTCAGTACCGAACATCCACGTGACATCCCCTGACCATGGAACTTTCCGAGCTTCGTACAGCTTGGTTCTCCACATTTCAAACCTGGGGTAATCGTGCATGCTCTGATGTGCTGTGACCTCGTCGAACCATCTGTTGACGACCTCCGCACAGTTCGGTTCCAACATGCTGGGGATATCAGTAAGTTTGGTTCAACGGGACGACAGCTGACAACCTCGACTCCGCATCATCGTCTGCATATTACGGTCTTGGCGAGAGTCACTCCGCACGCTCGCAGATCAGATGAGTGTTTGTAACGTATGTACTATCGCGGGGGTTACGAACCATATCCATAGTCCGCACCAATGCATGCATGCCTCCCCAGCTGTAAGCTCTGAGCAGACTTTTAAGATTCACAATGTACACCGCCGCCAGAGCCGTCCCCAAGCCTTTCACCCAGACTATATATACTCGTGCCCGTTCAAAGAAGTTCAGCCCTAAAGATGGTACAGTGGAAGGAAGCCAATAACGCCTGTCGCTAGTGATGACATGCGGTTCCTCATCTACATCCTGATTTCTTAGTTCTTCCATCCTACGTTCCATATTACATGTGCAATGTCTCTTGCGGTGTTCACGGTATCTACAACGCTGCCCAGTATGCCTCCGCGTTGAGGCTCGTCGTCTGTATCTTCGAAGGGCGCAATCATGCCTGATGCTGTCCTTCGGAGACCACCGGATTCAGAGGGTACTTCGAGGTGCTTGTTTCGCTGTGAGTAAGGGTCCGAGGCAGTAGGGGTGGCTGGGCGCTGTACGCCGAATGCTCTGGAAGGGTTGAAGTATTCCTCATCATCATCGTCTTCGGGAAGGAGGAAGTTCGAAGATGGGTGCGATGGCCGAAGTGTCTCCTGGGACGGCGAGGGCGAAAGTCTACTTGATCGCCAGAATCCCAGAGAGTGTGACTGCTGCTGCTCAGTAACGTCCGGTGAGTCCGTTCTGTACTTTAGTGTCGTGGATGGTAGCTTCTCAATAGTCTTGTTGCCAGCTTTGCTGCTGCTAATGCTGGTCTTCGAAGCGGTTCTCGATAGCGGCCGCTTTTTGTTCTTGCGCGAACGCCTCATCATGACCACTCCCTCATCAGACGATGAATCCTCATCGTTCTGTGACGCCCAAGGGTTGTGGTTGAAGTCGTCCTCATCGTCATCTCCGTCTTTTGTTTCAATTGCGATGCACTGCTCGACTTTGTCATCGAAACGAATGTGCTTCTTCTCGCCTTCGAATGGTGTATGCAGGCCGGACGTCGATCTCGAGGTGAAGTAATCTGTAGGTTCCCGGCTTGTGGTCCTTGACATCAATGACGAGGCGGTGGGGATATCGGAAGTCTTCCTGCCGATAATTGGTCGAGGTTTCCGGCGCTCCAGTGTGACAGTCGGTGTGCGCTGTGCTTGAGCCATCTCTACAGCTTCTGCCACTAACGACGATGATGAGAGCGACTTTTGCAGCATTGCCTCTGACATGCTGCGCTTTTTCAAGATAGGCTTCTTCACATTACCCAGGAAAGAGCTGCTCTTAGACAAGCGGCTTACCGGCTCTGAGTTTTGCTGCGAGGCGAATCTGTTGCAAGCAGGCTGCAAGGGCCCGTACAACCAAGTCACGTCTACATCTTTCAGCCTGCGTTGTTCGTTAGCTTTCGATCGCGATACGAAACTTGGACAGCCGTGCACGGATGGGGATGATCGACGCTAAAGACAGGGGGTGCCGATCAAAAAGCTTGGAACTCACCAATTGAGTGTCTCGGGCGACACGGTCTTCAATTTGAACTGGGACTTGGCCCACGTCCGCCACGAGGCATTTTCGAGCCTAGAGCGCTCACCGTAAACGCTCCTGTGCTCGACAATGTGTCGCCATGAGGACCAGATATCCTCTTCCCTCCATTCATACGAGAGGTAGTCCACGTGATGCGAAGGCTCCTTTCGCACAGCTGTGTCGTCCTCTGAAATGGGTACTGGGTCTGGCGTTGTCAATGGTGTGTCGGTTGATAGTGTCCCTTCGGCAGTGATGTGTGGGTCGAAGGGTGGTAATTGCTCGCCGGTGATGTTGATGCTCGGCGAGTCGGTGTGGTCGTAGGAGTCTGTCGCCTTGCTGTATCCGCTTCGACTCTTGCCGTAGTCGGGAAATGTGAGGCCATCGTCTTCGCTGCTCGACTCGTCCAGTCTGGTGTCCAGTGACAGGCTGCTGGAGGACTCTGAGTGCAGCGACGAGGCGCGAGACGACTCGGACTGCTCAGAGTGGACGCGCAGGTCGTTCAGCGAGAAGTGGTTCCTTCGCGGTGACGTCAAGGCGTTGTATAGGTTGGACGACGAGGTGGTGCGCGCCATTGGGGGTCCGCCAAACGGCGAGCCCTCTCGCGGCGTGTGCAGCACTTCAGCCATGGTGGATGGTGCGCGGGTGCGCGGACTCAATGCCTCAGTAGCAGTCACAGTGAGTGGGAGCTGGTGGTGATATCCGGTTCCAAGACGCCCTCCGCGGTGATCCTTCGGCTGGCCGGTGTCGACATGCGTATGCGTGATGTCTTATCCTCTGGTGGAGCAAGCGGGCGCGCGGGGTGATGTAGTGGTCGACATGCAAATAAGGCTGGGCGATGCAAGGGCAGGGCAGCGTACGGGTCGTCAACATTAACGTGCAAGTGCAAGTACAAATGCAGGCGCGCGTGGGGGTTGCAATAAAAGGGAGAATGAGTTTGCACGTTGCGAGAGGCGTTGGGGAGACGAATTGGCGGCGAGACCTAGTTTAGTGCGCAAGGCCAAGCAAAATGCCTCCCCAGACCCACGGTAAAGTTTAAGGACGCTGCCGATGCATGCTTTCGTCCAGCTTTGGTCTTTGAGCGCCCATGGAACGCAACGGGTCGTGATAAGCGGCGGCCCACTGTTCTGCTGCACGAAAGCAAGAACATCAGAGACCAACATGTTGCTGTGCTGCGTCAACAGGCCCACAGTTGCGTCTTCTGTCTGCGCAGACGTTGGCCTGCCTGCCTGCACTCGCTCTGTCATGGCTCGGGTTCGGCTGCTGCAGAGCCCTGCCTCGGATGATCGGCCGTGCATGCCAACGAAAACGCAGAGCCTGGACCGTTGAGTCCTGCGTGGGCGAAAGCTAGAGAGCCTCGCGGAACAACTCGTAAACCTCAAGTGCAGTCAGGGTTGCAGGCGGGGAAGTGAGGGGCTGCTGCAATCAGACAGATGCTTGTCCAACAGCTCCAAGAGGCTGATAACGTTTCCAGAGTACCACGCGTGGAACGGTGGGAGCGATGCAGTCATTGCCCTGCCCCCTCTGCTACTCGCTGGCACACTGCGAGATAGTCTAGCCTTGCAGCTTAGTTCCTCAACACCACAATCACCATCCACTCGTGGCATGACGAAAGCCACCGTGGCCGTTCTCAGCTGTCGGTGCTCAGGCGGAGGCTCGTCTCCTCCACAGCTCTGCATGCTCGGCGCTGGGGAACATGTGGAGACTTGGAGTCGGTCCATCTCGATCAGTCCTCCATATGACGAAAACGGCGCATCGCGAGATGGTTGAAAGACACTCGCCAACACGGCATCGAGATCTCTAGGCCAGTCGTTTGCGAATTCGACCCGCATCTATCTATGAATGCACAACTCTCTCCCAGCGCCCAAACTAGAAGCACCGCTAGAAAGGGCTATGTGTAGCGCAGTGGGGTTGAAGGGTTCGACAGCCCTAAAGTGCCCTTTGCGTGCATGCAACTCAGCTCGTTCAACACATCGTTGCAATTGCTGATTTCAGAAGACGCAACTCTCTGCGCACTGTTGCGTTACCCCTAGTATCTTGCTCTCCGCGGGGCTGTGGTTGAGAAGACGAATTGTTCTCGGTGCTGACCGACCTACATATGACGTTGCAGGGTAGCACATCAAGCGCGCCTAACTGATATGCTTGTTGAGTGTTCTTCCTGAACAGGCATCCCGAGATGCTCATCCAGGGCTCTCACTATCGCGGCTCCATATCTTGAGAACCGCTCCAGAGTCTGCCTAATAGATAACGTTGTCGTCACGAGAGCATGAGGGGCTCTTCGAACCATCAAATGATTGATCTGTCACTGTGGGTTGGACAGCCGTCTGACAGGGTCCGCCAATACTTGCTTGCCAAGTGAGACACGCAAGCAGGTCCCTACCAACTGTAACTCGATCTTACACATGTGCACATCAACCTTATGTGACCACAAAACTCACGATGTTTGCAAGTCGATAACTTCTGAGGTCTTCAATCATGCACACAGTGTCCGGATATAAGCTCTTCCGATTCTGCGATCGCAACACGATCTCCCTGCTAAATCTAGGCACGCGCATCTCGGTGCTATGCAAGTTCCGAGCGCGAGGCGCGAGGGCAATTACAATTCGCGACGCAACTATTGTTCGAATCCTCGTAGATTGCAATCCACAATGCTGCGGCTCTCCTCTCTCCACTCCTAAGCTTTGCCCTGCAGATCTGACACTACATAATGGATCTGTCTACTGACACTGACAAGCCTGAGCGGGAGACTCAGAACACCACAGGCTCGACCACAGACTCGACCCATGCAAGCCATGACATCGCCATCGATACCCCGACATCCCCGCAGAGCAACCGCACCCTGATGGATGGAGAAGACGCAACGCGCGCCCTCAGTGAAAGTAAAGAGGAGGTTGCATCCAAGGAAGAAGTTGAAAGAAATGTCGCCACCGACGCACCTGCCGCGTCTGCAGCACACGACGAGGAGCCACCTCAGCGCAGCAAGCTGAAGGTCAGCCTGATCATGTTTTCGCTCGCCGTCGCCGTACTTCTCGTCGCATTAGATATCACGATCGTTACGACCGCCCTACCTACCATCGCCGAAGAGTTCAACTCTGCATCTGGATACACATGGGTTGGTTCAGCCTACCTAATCGCGAACTCAGCCGCAACTCCAATCTGGGGCAAGGTGTCAGACATCTTCGGTCGCAAACCATGCCTGTTGATCACAAATGCTATCTTTTTCGTTGGCTCCTTGATCGCTGCGCTGTCAGTCAATATGAACATGTTGATTGGTGCTCGAGTCATCCAGGGTATGGGTGGTGGCGGTCTGATCGTTCTGGTCAACATTGCCATCTCTGATCTGTTCGCTATGCGCGATCGCGGAGCATACTTTGGTATTATCGGTGGTGTATGGGCACTCGCCAGTAGTCTGGGGCCGATTGTGGGAGGACTGTTCACACAGAAGGTCAACTGGAGGTTTGTTTGGGTCTTGGGGATATAAGGAATCTATACTGACTTTTACAGATGGTGTTTCTGGATCAACTTGCCGTTCGACGGCCTGGCTTTCATCATCCTGATCTTTTTCCTCGATATCCACACTCCGAAGACACCATTGCGCAAGGGACTGAAGGCTGTTGACTGGCTTGGTTCCCTGACTATGGTTTCAGGTACCATTATGGTTCTCCTCGGCCTTGAGTACGGCGGCATTGCGCATCCATGGGACTCAGCAATCGTGCTCTGCTTGATCATCTTCGGTGTCGTCACCATTGGCTTGTTCTTCGTGGTCGAATCACGACTTGCGCCTTACCCGCTCATGCCTCTGAGCATCTTCTCGAAGCGTTCGAACGTCGCCGCTCTCGGTACTTGCTTCTGCCACGCCTTCGTATTCATTCCCGGTAACTACTTCTTACCCCTGTACTTCCAGGCCGTTCTCGGCGCGACACCCATCCTTTCTGGTGTTTACTTGCTCCCGACCGCGATCGCTCTTTCTATCTTCTCGATCATGACGGGTATCACAATCAGGAACACTGGACAGTATCGTCCCATTATTTGGTTCGGCATGTTCATGATGACCCTTGGTACTGGTCTGTTCATCGATCTCGGAGCGAACTCGGGATGGGCAAAGATCATCATTTATCAGGTCATTGCTGGTATTGGTGTAGGACCAAACTTCCAGGCTCCCCTTATCGCCATGCAGAGTCTTGTCCCTGTAAGTACATTCAATTTTCGGTTCCAGTGGGGTAGACATTCCCCAATGTTAGATCAAGGTCACTATACCTCACTACATGCGCGGGGTAGCGTCTGCCGCAATGGCTTATCATTATCAATTGTATGCATGTGCTAATATATCAACAGAAACGCGACATCGCAACAGCAACAGCAACATTCGGTTTCACACGCAACCTTGGCTCCGCCATCTCCGTTGTCGTCGGCTCCGTCATCTTCCAAAACGAAATGAAGTCGCAACAAGGCTCTCTCCGTGCCTCCCTCGGCGACCAAACTGCATCGTCTTTTGGAGGTGGTGCAGCAGGCGCGAACGTTGGCCTCATCAATTCACTTCCTGGGCCCCAGAAGGCCATCGCTAGGGACGCATTCGCGCAGAGCTTAAGCAAGATGTGGATTCTGTATGCCGTGTTTGGTGCGGTAGGGTTATTCATATCATTGCTAATTGGGGTGAACGTGTTGGACAAGCATCATGAGGAGACGAAGACAGGATTGGATATTGAGAAGGAGAGGAGAGCCGAGAGGGAGGCGGAGAAGGCAGAGAAGAGGTTGAAGAGGGCTAGCAAGGGGCAGAGCAAGGCGAGCTTGCCATTGGATGTCGAAAAGGGGACTGCGCCGCCTACTACAGAGGGTGGGAAGGAGGTCAAGGTTTAACGATTGTGTTGAAAAGTTTGTTTGTTGTTTTGCAGAGTATACGCCGTTTGTGGAAAGCATAGATACCATATTGTACAATGTAAGCTTTAATGTGAGCGGAACACGTGCCCGTGCCAGGCGGACTTTTATATAAGGTTGACTTACTGCACATATCCATTCTTCCAACATTGCATCAGCCACTTCAAATCCAAACAACATACATCGACTGTTATGGATGCTGTGTCTGTCCTTCCAAAAACGCGAATTGAGACCTTCCATGTCTGAGGAACGCTCGTGTCACGAAAGAGAGGTACAAAGTGCTCATGCGCTTTCCAGCTTCGCTCCTTCGCTTTCATGAAGAACCTTGCTGCTTCTGACAGAATTTACTATGCATCTTTGTATGTTTGGAAGGCATGCTTACATCAAAAGTGTGGGTGTGGCGGTACATGTGTTCTCTGTTCGAAGATCGCAATCTCATCTGACATGCCGTCCACTGGAATATCGAGCCTACTCTCCAATTATTGTGTCTGTTGTGGTACTTCAATCATATTCTCCGAAAAGAGCAGTCACATGAATCGATGAGCTTCTTCTTTCTCAAAGACTTCAACACATTTGTAATGTGGAATACTGCTCTTCTGGACTTGCCGAAAATTCAAACGCGATGGGTTCATGTGGGGGAAGTCAGTGGCTTTTAACAAAACCTTAAGCTATCCCAAGCATGAGTGCGAGGAGCCTTTTGTCTCTGAGTGGAAGGTATAAAAGGACACCCAGAAATCATCTAACTGTTATCACCACGTTTTGCAGCTTTCACGAAGTCAAAACATCTGCGTCTGCTTTCGACAAAAATCTGAAAGTTTGCGAGTACTGTCACATGTCCGGATTGCAGGAGACAGAGGCTGATGTTGTTTCCTACTTTTGAAAATACCAGAATGGTTGAGAACATGTACTTGCTTTCACGCGAATCAAAACACTTCCATAATATATGTCATGGGCTTCGTGCTGTTGGACAACATATTGTTGATGTTTCTGCCTCTGCTTCCTGTCTTTGACGGATCTTCCATAAACACGTAGAAAGAAAGCACAAGCGCTGAATGTTGTGTGAGCCGGTCACGTTTCGTGTCAAAACTCGCTTACGACAATTACATGTGCTTCGAATCTTTCGCTTGACCCACATGGCTACGACGGTCATGAAAGTACACGACATAATTACAACACGCTATTTGGAGTCCTTTGAAGTAATGGCTGATTCCTTTGCCTCTTGTGTTTCAGAATGCTTGTCCGTCTGTCCCAAACTCAAGTGTGTGGTTTTGCATGTGTGAGGTGAAGTGTATTGTTCTAAAGACTGCCAACTTCGCCTCATATGAGATCTGGCAAGCTTGAGGCCGTTCATCGGAAAATCTCTAGGGGTAGCGGAACATTGCTGTGCACTTCGTGAACCTTTTGACTTGCAAATTGCACTTTGATTGCCTGCCTCAAATGTAGGGTGGAATACGTAAGTCCGGATTGACGCGTATCAGATCTGCACAATCTCTTTCTCTGGCTTCTGTGACAATCGACCTGAAGCCATCAAGAGCCTCTCATGAGTCCTATATAGCCTCCAGCCAATTCGACTGTATGTTGGTGTATCGAGCTCTTGTGCTCTCTCTACTATGAGAAAGGCGACTTTCGAATGACCTTCATCTAGATCCACGTTCAGAAATAGTACTATAGCCTCGCTCTGCGTCAAATAAAGATCGTCGATACTATTAAAGTAGCCTGCCGCAGCTTGACTTTTTGGGAGCGGATAAGCTGGTATATGCATTTCCTGAAAGCGGACCTACTCTCTTCTGTAGGGTCCCAGCTGTGTCACTCAATCGAGCAAGCAAAGTAAGGTTTGCGAACTTGAGTTGTCCGGAGAGGTTTGTTGGATCAAATGGCAAAACGCGATAGTCGACAAGATCACACAGCTGCACGAATTCCGTTTCTTTTCTAAAGCCCAAAGGGATAGCCAAGGAGGGGCTGCTTCTGGAATCTACCTTCACCCAACTCCACGAGGGAGCTCGATAAGTAGCTGAAGAGACACAGTGCGATGAGTTGTTTTGCGCCCTACTGGGCAGCATTTCTTGTAGCCGCCATCCAAAGGCCAGAGGTAAATGGCTTTTGAGAAATCCAGCAATATATTTTTCATTAAATAGTCGAGAATAGTACTTAGTAATACCGGCAAATGCAGCGAACTTATCTGAGTCCGGGTACGTAAGGGCGGTACCTGCGTAGTGATGCGCCGCCTTCAGGAAGTGCCAAAACGCTTCGTTGCTAGCCAAGGGCCGTTCGATTGCAGCCTCTGGCGTCGGAAGCGCAAAGTCGTGCAGCTTCTACTGCAAGTCGGAACCGGCTGGATATCTCTCTGACTTGCAGTATGGCAGTTCACGGCACTGCTACTGTACACAATATGAGCCGAAGATGATCTTCCGCGGTGAGAGTTGAGCCTCTTGCATCACTCAATCTCGGCTATTGAGTAGACTCAAGTATTTATGGTGGTAATACTCCTAGGGTCCCAGATCCCACCGTCCTGGCAGTGGACCACACTCAAAGTGTATTGTAAACCCTCGAATACATGCAGGTCGTCGTTGGTTGAAGATGCCGTTTCTGTCGACATCGCCCAGTCTGTTGCAATTTTTACCAGTGTGATTGAATAGATCCTGCACATGGCCTTGCTATGGAGGAGCCAATCATCGTTACTGCTGTAACCCTCTTGCAGTATGCATAAGCTGTCAATCCAAAGGAACTCAAGTCCGAGGCTCTGACAGAAGGTTACTGCATCTCGACATGTTGGCGGCAATATATCAAGTGATAGGTTGGCTCGAAATGCATTGACGTTGCTCTCTGTCAACCTGACAAAGGTCGGATTTGGACCCCAGCAATGATTCAATGTTGCCCATAGGATGGGTGCATGGTAATCGCTTCCATTGACTAAACGGAGGCCTTTGGTCTCTATGTTTAACAGTCGTGGGGCCGATGCTGTGCCTCTTGCCCGGAGCGACAATCCGTGTGAGAGTTGACGCAGCCTTGGATCCATGACTGCGCAAGTCGGGCTAGTGTAGGGTCTGAAGAATCGGCCGGTGCACAGTAGCTATTCACCCGCTCGATCCCTTTAATGCTGTCGCTCACACTAGTCAGGTCCGGTCGGAGGTCAAAGACGTTTTCAGTGTAGCTATTGTGGCAAAACTGAAACCGGGCTCTGTCCTTTTCGTTCTCTACTCCGAATGATTGTACGTTCGGACTCGGCATCCCAAACATAGTCACTCCAAATTCCTGAAAATGATTGACACGTACCAGCTTGGGTGAGTGCCATCTGAGAAGTCATGAAAGCTGGCCTCTCGACTCCAGCAAGAGTCCCCTTCTCTATTTCATCAAACATGCATCGACAAAGCAGGTAACACTAGTCACAAAACATCGTGGTGAGAGGAACGCTGATCCTGAGGGGTTGCAAAGACAAGAGTGGTTTTCGTAGAACTTTCACAAGAGCCGTTCAAATATGCGGTATTCGATGTTCATTTGTACTTGGTAGGTTGAGTTCGGATGGAGAATAGATATTGGTGTACCGTGTGTGTCAAGCTGCGGAGGTCCTCGTTGAGGTGGTGTTAGTCTCGAGACCTCATCCCAAGCGGCCCAAGCAGTATATCGACATGTTCGTGGGATTTGTTGGCTGCCATAAAACTGCGCGAGGAGGAGTACACACTAGCGCCCTCTGACGTAAGACCACATCGGCTATTCTTGCCCATTTGAACCCTTCCCCATCTCTCACCGGTGGGTCCGCTAACCGCCAACACTCACACATCACTGTCTTGACTTACTTCTACAAAAGATCATGCATATCAAAGCTACGCCGAAAATGGCACATCTTAAACTGCCGCTGGAGGTCATCCTCAACGTGCTTGATCAACTGGTTGGAACTCCTCATGGACGGCAACCTATTTTCGATCCCTTGAGTCTTGTCACCAAAACCTTACGAGCACTCACGCTTACCTCACATTCAATATATCCAGTTGCGTCGAGATATCTATATCGCCACTGCCTTTACGTAAGCGATTGCGTGAGCTACGCATACTTGAGAAGAACATTAGGACTCGAGCTTGGTGGCAACCATCCTCAATCACTTGCTTACGGACAAGCTGGACGAAACGACGAACTATGGAACGATGCCAAGGTACTGCAGTATATCACTGCTGCATTTATATCTCCAATGAAGACATTGAATGAAGACTCAAAGTATAATCGAGCGACGCCTATGGTACGGCTGCCACAGATCATGGATCTTTGCAGCATTATCGGGCCGATGCTTAAGAGACTGGTATTGGACATGCAGCCTGTATACTCTCCGCCTAGCGAGGTTGAGAACGCGAGATTTTCTCAGAGAGACTCGAATATCTTTCTGGGAATGCCAAACCTGGAGGAGCTGGTCGCAAGCTACGACGTTCCGGACTACTTTCATTTACCACCGCCGAATCTGAAAAGACTCGCTATCACAATACAAGACCTTCACGATGTAGCGATGAGGTTCTGCTTCTCTATATCGACACTGCAGACCCTTGTCCTACTCCGGCCAGTGGAATTGAGCGCGGCAGACGTCAACGGCCTTTTCTCTGCGTACAAGGGTCAGAGCTTGGACGTCATCCTAGTGGATGTGAACTCGAATCACCGTACACCAAAAGACACCAGAGACTGGACTGACGGCGACACGGTCAAGATCTGGGAGGCAGATGTCCCAACCAGTTTCTATGGCGACGACGATGACCTCATCCTCTGCGACAATTGGATCTGGACTCATGCTGTCAAGGGTACACTTTGGGCTCAGGACAACAGGAGAATGGCTTCCTGGTCCGAAATCCAACGAAGACTTACTGGACCTGTTCATCATATCATCGATTGATCTGGAGCTCTCTGGACGGAACAAGCTCTTCAGGGTCATCTCATAGCCTGCACCTTTGCTTCTAGTATAGAATCTTTCGTCGCACAAGTGCTGCGACCGTTTGCTCTTTCCTGTTTGATAGCTTGACTGCAAACCCTTTTCCACCGTGCTGCGTCTCGCCAAAATCTCCACCACCCGCGTTGCATGTAAGGCCACTTTGTCTTCGTCTGAAGTAAGCAAAAGCGTTCGTGCAGATGAGTTGCGCAGTACTGCTGATGCGCCTAACAGTACCACCAGGGGGTGCGCTGACATCCCCACCTCCGATTGTTCCGGAGATTCATCTTCGACCCTACCAATACTCTCATGAACCGAGGGATAGCTTCAAGAACAAGGTACTGCAACTCGCCTTCCAGCTTTTTCCCAGTGCCAACACTGGCGATATCCAGCTACAGCGCATGCGCGGCGGAAGCTCTAACCGCATTGTCGGCATCAGCATCTCCGCCCCAAAATCCCAAGGTCTTCTCTCATCTATTCGGTGAGGCTACCACAAAATACTTGCAGCTCTCGACTTTCCAAGATGTCTACCAACCCCAGCAGTCTCTCATCACACCATTCGCATATCTCGATGGGGCAACGAGCATATGCAGCGCAACATGGCGACGCTCAAATTTGCAAGTTGGAAGTTGGATCTTCCTATCCCTACAACAGTCCTCTATGATATCTCCAGCGATAACGTACTCGAGGCATCCTACGCCCAACAATACTTTCTGCCAGGGTAAAACCTCCGATCCATCTTCTACCAGCTCAATCTGGCGCAGCGCAAGGATCTGACCCGCAAGATCACCAAGCTCATCCTTGACACGCATGAGCTATCACATGGCAATTGCGCATTCATCGGTGACTACAACGACAAAACTCCATACTTTGAGATGCAAACGCTGAGCATCCCGCCAGACCCTGATTACGATGGCAGTTTACATTCACTGCCCGCTGACAAGCGGAGCGACACTCTCAAATTTATCACCACTATTTGTCAGCGCTGGAAAAACCAGGAGAGCACGTATCTACGGAAGCCAATATCAGGGTGGGATAGATGCAGCGACGTGGCCAAGGAGATGTACGATTACGGGTTCCCGAGCGCTAGCAATCGCGTTCCATTCACACACATGGATCTCTATCCGCGTAACATCCTCATCAACATCACCAGCGATAGCTTGATCGAGATCATTGGAGTGCTGGACTGGGACGATGCACTCTTTGTGCCGAAGTACGTGGCTTGTCAAGCACCTTTCTAATTATGGGAGGAAGCAAAAGGGTTAGATAAATGTGACAAGTACAAAGCACCCAAGGAGCCACAGGAGTCTGGTTTAAGGGAGATCAAGTCGCCATTCGAGACGTTGGTTGGGCAAGGCTTCCTGAACTATGCGTACAGAGAAGAGTACGTATTGCTTAGACATATGTTCATCATTCTGCAAGTAGGGCTGAGTTATAGCCACCTTTTGAAGGATATTGAGGCTGTCTTGGCTCGTTGGCAAGTGTTGCGCGAAAAGCACGATGCAGAAGCAGTCATCAAATAAAAGCACGTTCCAGGATGCGCCATCTTTGCAAGACTTAAAAGGTGAATGAATAGAATATTTACGATTCACGTTGTGTACATTGAAAATAAACTTTGTCGCCTACGCAACAGCAACTTGTTGACCAGGCTTCACCAGTACCTCCCCTGCCGCCTTCGCTGCCGCCTCCTTCTTGTACTTCTCCGCCCTTCCATACGAGTCCGCGTATCCATTCTTGATCGCCTGCTCGACTGTGATTGGGGGCCACTTCGGCTCTTCGCCCTCTTTTATGCAGTTTGGCAAGCACTTGACTTCGTAATCTGGGTTTCCAGAGAAGAACACCGGGATACTGTAGCGCTCCTCTCCACTCTTGTTAATGACACGGTGCAAGTTGGAGATGTACTTGTCGTTCGACCAGCGCATCATCAGGTTGCCGAGGTTGACGACGAAAGCGCCAGGTGTAGGTGTGACGTCGAGCCATTCTTTTGTGGAGTAGTCATAGACTTGCAGGCCGGCGACATCGCCCTGTAGCAGGATTGTGACGCAGCCGAAATCCGTGTGCGCACCAATGCCTCGTGTGAGCTTTGCAGGGCTGTCTGCCGGCTGGGATGGGTAGTGCAGAAGGCGCATTGTGGCGACTGCGTCGCTGCTGAAGTCGTCGAACCAGCTCTCTTCCAGATCCAGTGTCAGTGCCAGAACTTTGAGGATATCCTTAGCCAGTTCGACGACTTGACCGTAGTAGTCAAGTGCTGTGCTCTTGAAGCCCTCAACATTGGAGAGGATCTCTTCGGACGGCCACATGTTGGGACCAGAATTGAGCTTCTTGTTGACAAAGTAGGGGTGATCCTTCGTGATCTCGTCGCCGATATAGAAACCTTCCTTCAGCTCAGGTAGTGTGCCTTCTTCCAGAATTTGTGACTTCATCAGCTCGTATCCGCGGTTCCATGTGTTAGTTGTGTCTTTGTTCACCGTGTTCTTCTGCTCCAGCTCTAGGTCAAAGAACTTCTTGTTCCAGTTCATGATCTTGTTTTGTAACTCGAGGGGTACATTGTGTCCTGTGATCTGAAAGAAGCCATTGTGCAAGCAGCAGTCCCTGACTTCCTCTACAAGCTTCTTCTTTGCTGCAGGATCGTTTTTATAGAAGCCTTGGTCAGGTCAGAGTAGCGCATGAAGTGTAATATACAGTACTTACTCGAGAAGTCGAGGATTGGTGGTGCATCACCTGCGCTCGGCATATTGATCGCTGTTATCGTATTTATGAGGTTGATGAAAAGTATGCGGAGTCTAGTAAGGATCGACGGCTGTGCAACGTGGTAGATGTTGTGATGTTACTGCAAATGATCAACTGCGCCTTCTGTAACGTTTATACAACCTCAGCCTCGCCCCTCAGCGTATATCTCCGACATAGCTACCCCTCACACGACGCATATCGATAACAGCGGAGCGTGTCGAAGATGGGGGTGTCCACGATGCCGACAAAGCTCCGAGAGGAGTTCACCCCACCAGTCCCACTCTTGAGAGCACTTCGCCTTGAATATGCTGACTCAGCTCCTGTTGTGAAAGACATAATGAGATGGAACATGATGTTTTGGTCGTCGAAATGGAAAGTTGGGGTAAGTTGTCAAACCGTGGGGTTTGTGCGAGGTGAAGTTATGACGCAGGCTGGCTAGCGTGTACTTTGCGTGTCGCGCGTGAGGGCCAAACCCAGACCTAACATCAACCTTCGAGTGCATCCATGATAGAATCTTGTGCCCTCCTCATGTTCAGCTTGTGGTAGCGCTCAATCCTTGTCCGGTCATGCGACCCTCATACCGTCAGCTTTCTTCTGTTCTCACGACCAGCTCTTGGAACCTTGGGAGCTCGAGCTTTCTTGTTCTGACTTCGTTCAGACCTCCACGTTATTTGATTGACTGGACGAACTGTGCGGCTGCACTGGTTTACAGCAAAACCTTGACCTGTTACTTCCCGCACGGGAATGCAGTTGAGCTGCAAGCGGACGGCTTGAAGCCACCTTATGGCCTGACAAGATAAGCGAACACGCAAGGAATGTAACCCGCACATTCAACGCAGATCGTGTCCAGCCTCAACTCGGGTGACAATCCTTATTGGATTTTTGCTTCTTCCACCCACTATCTTTGAGGTAGAGTCAGACATTGGCGTTTGTATGTGGCTCAGACTATGTCCCTATAAATGATACTCAAGTATATAGTCAGGGCTGCATTCGGCGCTGCAACGCTTCGATCACAGGTAAATCCTGAACCTCTACTCACATCTCAATACCACAAACACCATGTCTGAAGGAAGGAGACGACGATCTTCAGTGGTCTCACACGACCGTTGGCACTGTATGTGTCAACGACGAAGCCATTCGGCGCCTCAGCGCTGTCCGCACCAACATTGGACAACAGCAGGAGGATGCTCGACTTGCAACCGATGCAGAGAAGACAATGACTGTTCGACAAGCTCTTCGCCTGAACAAGTGGGCAATAATTTGTTCAACGGCTATGAGTTTGGCTGTTGTGATGGAAGGGTAAGTTTCGAACATCGATGCCAGAAGCCTTCTTAACTGTCTTGCATGTACGACCTCGCAGCCCTGGGCTCTTTCCTTGGTTATGATCAATTCCGCCAACGCCTCAGCACAGAGCCCGACCCAGATGGTAACCTCAGGATCTCACCTGCCTGGCAAGCTGGAATCCAAACCGGTGTGCAAGCAGACTCCATCATTGGTCTCTGGGCAAATAGCTACATCTCTGAATGGTTTGGCTACAAGAAGACCATGTATGGCGCCTTGCTTGCATCCGTCATCTTCAACTTCCCCCACTTCTTCGTTCAAGGTAGCGGCATGATTGTAGCCGGTTCCATCGTAAACGGTCTGCCATGGGGAATTTTCCAGACTCTTACCGTTACGTATGCCTCGGACACCACTCCTTCAACCATCCACCCTTATCTGACCACCTACATCAACCTGTGTTGGGTGATGGACCAACTTGTCGCAGCAGGCACACTCCGCAGCTGTCAAACCCTAGGCAATGACTGGAGTTGTCGCATTCCAATCGCTATTCAATGGGTTTGGGTGCTGTTTATCTTCCTTGGCGCCTTCATGGCTCCTGAGTTGCCCTGGTGGCTCGTTCGTAAAGGATGCTACGAAGAAGCACGGGCGTCACTCGTTAAGACTACAACACCGCAGCCTGATGTTCACTTCGATCCAGATCAGGCCCTTGCTTTGATCAAGCACACCAATGACCTCGAAGAAGCGACGAACGGTGGCGTAAACTACATCGACTGCTTCACAGGCGTTGAGAAGCGCCGCACGCTTATTGCTTGTGTCGTCTGGCTTACGTAAGCGCTGTGCGGTGCTGCGATGTCAGAGTTCAGTGAAGAACTGTACGCAAAGGAAGAAGTTGAAGATTGTACTGAGGTTGTATTGAGTGAAGCTACGAACAGTATATATAGGTGAGTAGCTGTAAACAACGCTAGTGTGACGTGGCAGTCAATCTCATGGAGGTGAGGTACGATAGGCAGGAGCACCCCAAACCGTGACATGCAATGATGGGCTACTCAGTACAGATCTACCGCGAGTCTGGTCTTGACGAAGAAGGAGCGCTCAACCTCAACATTGGCCAGTACTGCCTTAGTTTCACCAGTACTATTGGCCCCTGGTCCCTCATACGCCGCATTGGACGCCGGACGTTGTACTTCGGGGGTCTGATCATCCTTTGTTCCTTTCTTATGGTCATTGGTGGTCTTGGTGTTATCTCTCGCGACAACACAGGCGCGGCGTTGGCTCTGGGATGTATTTTGCTGGTGTCCACGCTTTTCTACAACTTTCACAGTTGGCCTTGTATGTTACACCATTGTCGCTGAGATCTCCTCGACAAGGTTAAAGATCAAGGCCGTTGTTCTAGCTAGTAACGTCTACAACATCGTAAGTTCATTACCTTCTAATCCGAAGGTCTTGGACACAGTATTCTGACTCTTCAATGGGGAAGTATTCTCAACAATATCGTCGTCCCACATATGCTCTCACCCACAGAATGGGACTGGGCCGGTATGACAGGCTTTTTCTACGCTGGGCTTACTGCTCTGCTTATCGCCTTCATGTGGTTCATGCTGCCCTGAGATTAAGGATAGGACCATTGCTGAGCTTGACGTCTTATTCGAGAACAAGGTATCGGCGAGGAAATTTGCCAAGACGAACTTCGACTAGTTCTTAGGCCACACTACGCCAATCAAGGTCGATAGTGATGGAAGTAGCAGTGACGGCGAGAAGCCTGGTGCTTTCGGACGTGAGGAGGTTTGACTGCTTGAAATGGTTACGTTGGTGCGGTTCTTGTTGCGTACCTCATGCGAGGTTCTAGAGATGGAACACAAGATATTCATGATAGAAATAATAATCTCCTTTCTTCGAGACGCTAGCTTGCCAAACCTGACTTTTGGAAGATTTGATCCTCAGTGAAGTCGTGCGGAAACACCCCTCCTATTGGCTAATGCGCCCTCCGCAACCCCACACGCCCCACACTTCCGTGGATTTGATCTGCTTTGCTCAGCTTGACAAAGCAGAAAGCACGCTAAGCCCTACCACTCTGATGCGCCGCTTTGCTAAACATTTACCAAGCACATGTCATGATGGCTGAACTCTACTCGAACCCCTCAAATTCCTCCTTCGAACATTCTCGAGCCTCATCCCACAGCTATATAGCTCGCCCATTCGACTGATGAAGACGCTCTCCTCCATCTTTTTCGCCATCATCGCAATTGCAGCAGCAATCTACAACAACCCATACATGCTCTCGCGCTTTACACGCTTGACGAAGCACTTCACATCTACACAAAACTTTACGACTACCTCCACAGGCATGGCTGCAAACGGCATGTTCCGCGGACTGCCCGTCATCCCAGATGAGCAGTTCACCACCACAGCGCCCCGCAAGATCGCCAAGTCCTTCCTCGCAGTTGAGCAGTCTGAAGGCGCAGGCGCTCGCGTCCGCCGCTCAGTGGGCACACCCAAGCTCCGCAACTTCTCGCCCTTCCTCATGCTCGACCACTTCGCCATTCCTCCGGGCGCTGGCTTCCCCGACCATCCGCACCGCGGCCAGGAAACAATCACGTACCTGCTCTCTGGCGCAGTAGACCACGAAGACTTCGCTGGCAACAAGGGTACAATCGAGACGGGCGATCTGCAGTTCATGACTGCGGGACGCGGTATCGTACACGCAGAGATGCCACAACAGAATGAGAAGGGCGAGGCGAACGTGGGCATGCAGCTCTGGGTTGACCTGCCCAAGGAGCTCAAGTCCTGCGAACCAAGATACCGCGACTTGAGGGCTAAGGAGATCCCTGAAGCCACATCAGAGGACGGCAAGGTCAAGGTCAAGGTCATCAGCGGTCTGGCTTACGGCACAGAGTCCCTGAAGGAGCTGGCATACACACCGGTCTGGCTCCTCGATTTTACTGTTCAGCCTGGTGGCACCGTCAAGCAGTCGCTGCCTAAGGGCTGGAACGCTTTCGCTTACCTTCTGAACGGCACCACCATCTTCTCCACTGGCGGCGAGTCACGACCGATCGAGCAGTACCACAACGTTGTGTTTGACAAGGAGGGTGACAGTATCGAGGCCTCGGTTGAGGAGGGCGCAGAGGAGTCGAGGTTCATCTTGGTCGCCGGTTTGCCGCTTGACCAGCCTATTGTTCAGTACGGACCTTTTGTTGTTACGTCAAGGGACGAGGTTATGCAAGCTATGCAGGACTATCAGACACATTCGAACGGATTTGAGCGGGCGCACAACTGGGAGAGTGAAATTGGAAAGAGTATGATTCACTAGATGAAGAATGTTAGTAACATCGTCACGTTGAGGCGGCCTGTATATAGCTTTTCTTTACTTTTCAATATCACCAAGTCGTTTTCGTTTTCTAACACAGTTCTCACGATCTTCACTAGCCATGTGCACACCAGAAGTTACCTCTATATAAGTCTGCCTCACTGTGCCTCCAGTCCTTCTGCTCGTCACTTTTCGTTTGCATTCGACTTTTCGAAACGCGCCTGGAAGTTCGTCACGTGGAGAACCTTCAGTCTGCCTCCACAGCTCCAAAATCCCTCGGTTACATCCTGCCGCGCAGAAGCACGAAGATCTCCAAACGACACCACTCTGCAATCCACCATCCCATGAAGTTCGTGACAGCGCGGAAATATACTTCAGTTGTAGCATGATTCACCGCCAAGGTCAAACAGTAACATTACAGCGGTCTCGAGCATACTTACAGGCATTTTGTCTGCAGTGCTCGAAGCTGCGACGACGATGCACCCCTGCCATCCCGTTGGAAACTACAACTATTGTCATTTCGGAGACTCTAGGACATATATTAGTGTGTCAAAAGTTACTTCCAAATTGCGAAGGCGTGCAGCGTCCAACTACACCTACTCCGGGTTTATTCGCGGAGACATGCAGGCACTCTTCGCTGCAATACTCATGTATGATTGACGTACCTAGTCTGGTCTGCAGAAACATGAAGGATGCCGTTATGACATAATCTCGAAAGCTTAAAGCCACTTGAGGCGATCTAAAGCAATGTGCTGGTTAGTAGAACGATGTTTCATGGAACGAGCAAACAATTTAATTCTGGTTGGAAGTCATATAGGACAGCCAACGCTCAGATGCATGTCGGTCAGGGTGAGTCTCTGCAAGCGTAGCGCCTCGTACCTTGACCACATGCTCTAGCAGCCTTACAGCGTCCTCGATATGTCCATTCGCCCAGTAGGAAACACCAAGTGCATGCTGTGACGCTAGCCGATCAGGGTGAGTCTCTGCAAGCGTAGCGTCGCGCACCTTGA